GAGAAATCCCATTGATGCACTGCAGTTCTGTGCCATCTCCTTGCATAGCCATATGCCTGGGAGAGGGGAAGTGCTGCCTCAGCAGTGCCCTGGGTGCTTCTCAGCAGCTGCTCCTACAGAGGTCAGCTGGAGGGTTGGGGGGGTTAATGTGGCACAGCTCTGGGGCTTTGCGTCGGTGGTGAAATGGCAGAGAGGAGGAGAAGCTCCTGCAGCACAGCACCCTTCTGCTGCAGCATTGCAGAGCTGCGTGCTCCTGCCGCTGTCTGCCTGGTGGCGCTCCCACTCTGCAGCGGTATTTTGCTCTTGAGTTAACTTTTATTCTTGTTCCTCCTTTATGATACAAATTCTTCTTTTTAGGACTAGAGCAGAGAATAATGTCCTTCCTTCCCCAGGAAGCCTTAACTTGCCCTGAGAAAGCGATTCGTGCGCTGTGGAGCTTGTGTCCCCGAGCGCAGCACACAAACTAAGCTGCAGGCTTGGGTCTTGGGTTTTACATTTCAAACATCTCAGAGGCTTGCTAGTTTAGTTTGAATTGTAGATACATGGTTCTGTTTATTTTTTGAGGCTCTAGTCTGTAGAGAAATTGAGCATCCCTAAATATTTGCATTGGGGATGATCTCTCTGGGAGAAGTGGCCTATCAGTGGGCAAAGGACTTAGTAACAGATGAGAAATTCAAATGTGTTTAATGTCCCAAAGCCTGATTTTTAAATCAAGGCTGCTGCTATTTGTCATAAATTAAGCTATATAAAGTAAATACATCTGCTATCTTGGGGAATGGCACAGGGAAGGAGCTGCCTGCAGCTGCCCTGGTGCCAAGGGAGCAGCCCAGCCATCGCTGTGACTTAGAACAGGGGAGCTGGAGGACCCCAAGCTACTGCCTGTCCCCGTTGCAGCTGTCTGTCCCCGTTACAGCTGTGCCTTTCACGTAAATAATTGGAGGAGCAGTTTTGCTGCATGCCCAGCCAGCACCTAACTACAGCAACAGCTGTTGGATGAATCCCTGTGCACGCTGCTGCCTTGTTCAGGTACGACAGCAGTCACAAAGCAGGTGTTGAGTGGAATTGTCTGGATCACAAGTTCAACATCTGGCACAGCTTGCTCCATTGGCTTTGTCACTGCTCCTTATGCATCTCAATTGGCAGACAGCGATGCTGGTTGGTGGAGAGTGGTGGTGTTGGGGTCTGAGCAGGGAGTGCTGCATCCAGCCTGCTGGGCACCACTGGGGGACCTTCCTGCATCCCTGCTGCACCCGGAGGTCTGCATTTGCTGGGTGAGACATTGAGTCACAGAGTTATCACTTTTTAATGGGAGCTCCAGAGCGCATCTGGAGAAGGGCAACAAAGCTGTGCAGGTTGTGGAACAGAAGTCTTGTGGGGAGAGGAGGCTCAGGGTTGGCCTCACTGCTCTCCCAGGTAACAGCGATAGGATGGGAGGTCATTCATTCCTTCATTTATTTTTGTATTGTGAAGCCGACCCGTGAGATTTTCAATCCCTTCTGGGCTCGATGGTTCTAAGCCATAAAGTTGCCGCCTAACTTTTTCTGTATGTTTATGAGTGAAGTTTCAAATATGCAGACATGGTGTTCTCCTCATCCGGCCTCTTTGAATATGCAGACTGAGCATATACTTCTGCTTTTGGTTTGTTTTTCTTTCTTCCTGCTCTCCTTTCCTCCAAAATCGGATACCTTGCTGTTGAAACACAAGGGTTTAATCTGGCCGCTGTGCTGCTTATAATCCTCCCATACACGTTTTCCATTGTATGCAATTAGTTTCAGTTCTCAAGGACTGATTTTAAATATTCATATGGATCCAGTACAAGGGAGCATCTGTATGATGATATGTTTTCTGCATCTGAAGAATAAAAGGACCACTGGGATGGAACAAAAGGCAACTTCTCAAGTTAATTGTAAGATTTTATTGGTGTTTCACTCCGCTGCTCCAGGGTTTCTCCTGCGAATCGATTGCATGCTGCCTAATTTACGTATGAACTCTGTCTGAAAGGCGTTGCAAATTGATTTGCTGACAACGCTGGGGAAAGGTGACCCCAATTTGTCACTTCAGTCTCCTGTATGGGCCTACAGGGAAGAAAGCGATACTAGAAGTTGCAGAAATGTGCATGCAAATTTTTGTGCTTGCTGCAAAGGGTCTGCATGTGTATTCAGTAAAGCATAATGAATTTGGGGTGTAGGTGGCAACTGCTTGGTATTATAGAAGGTATTCATGAGCCTTTAGAATGAGTCAGGGTGTTTATCCTGCAGTATTTGTTCCTGTAAGATTTTTTACAGACATCCAACCTTTGTTGGCCTGTGTTGCATGTTTGCTTGGTGCTCTGAGGGGGCTGGTCCTTTCCTTCTCCATGTTTCTGTGCTCATGAACTTACTCCTCTTGTGAGCTTGCAGGCAAAACGTAAGTATTCAAATCAGAACCTTGCTGCAGAGGTCTTTATTTAGCTAAAATTAGACCCAGAAGGACAGACAGTGAATATTGATGCAGCAAGAGACACACATTGGGTGTGGAATAGGGCTGTGAAATGGCTGTGGCGCAGACTGAACGGTAGACAGCATCTACTGTTTAAAATAATCCAGTGTTTTTTCTTCTCCTTGTATTTTCCCATGCTTGCATCTCAACTCAGAGCTCCATGGCAGGGTCCTGCTGTGAGTACACGGCTGTTCTGGTACTGACAGCACTGTTGGCCAGGGTTACAGCTGCTCCTCACCCTGGGGCTGCCTGGGGTTTTTAACTTGAAAACTCGTTATCTGGACGTGGTTTGTGCCGTGCTGAGCATCCCAAAACTTGAACTGCTCTCTTGGGGTTTGGCCTCTAGAGGGTGGAGAACTTCTAGTGGTAGCAGAGGGAACGATGGCACAAAGTGATGCTTCAGGGGTTTTGTAAACCTTCTCTGTTAAAAATAAGATGAGGCCTTTCCTCCCACGCTGTCTTTGGGTCGGTTTGCTCCTCTCTGTATGCTCTAAAAGCTGAGGTTACTGAAATGTTCATCAAAATGCTGGTAGAATGCTCTCTTGTGCAAGCAAACACAGGACAAGTGAGGGCTGGCTTTTGGCTTTTCTGTAGATAAAATTGCTCTTGGTGAGGCATTTCTGTACAAGCCCAGCGTGGTGCTTAGCTCACTAAAAGCCTGACCTGCACTGCAGAAACCACTTTAGTGGCTGAGCATATCACCAGCAAGGAGATGGTGATAGTGGTGCTGCAGAAAGGGAACAAGTCCATGCAGTCAGGGTGAGAAGCTGGGTGTCATGGATATCACACTGCTTACAGAAGCGGTGCAGCTGTAAACACCTCAGATGGCTGATCCAGCTTTCCTTGGCTTGGGAAGTTTTTCTCCAGCTGTTATGGTGCTTTGCTTTTGCACTGCAGTGAGGATGGCGAGCAAGGGAGGGTCCTGGGTGGCTGCTGGGGTGAGCTCAGGGGATGCAGTGATGGCATGGAGGGCTGCTAGTTGGCTGCACAGCCCCTGCGGCTGTGGTGCAGCGGAGCACGGCCTGTTTTGGAGCTGGCAGTTTGGGTCAGGATTGCTGCTGTATGGAGCATCAGTGCTGAATTGCTGCATGGGGGGAAGGACTGCAAATTCCCGCTCAGGAGAGGAACAGTATCTCTCCCTGTGTCTGAAAAGAGAAGTGACTTCTGGTGAAGTTTCTGGTTTCTGAGAGACTTCTGTTTTTGCAGAGTTGACGTCGCTCGGCTCCTTTGCAGCCTCACAGAACTCCTGTAGGTTTTTTGCTGTAGGTGTCACTGAGAGAAGCCATCTTCCTGGGGCTTTGGATGGGAACGCTGGCAGCAGGTAGAGGGGAGGGTCCTGAGCAGCTCCTCCTGTGTGTCACAGCATGGCAACTCGGCTGCTGCACAGATGGGACGAGGCAGAGTTTCAAGGAAGATGGATGTTTTCTCACACCCATGGGCTGTGTGAATTCACACTGCACACCAGACTGAGCCCCATAGGGGCTGTCTGGAAGCTTGTGGGGCCACGAGTTGTTGGTCAGAGCACAGAGGGCGTTGTATAGACGTGCTCTGGGGAGCAGTCTGCTTACCTTTGTTTGCAACCTAGTGCTGAGAACCTGCTTCAGCACGGGGTTGCACTTGATGGTCCCCAGAGGTCCCTTCATACTGCTGTGATTCTGTGAGCCCCAGACAATGAAATTGGAGGAATTTTAGGAGGGAGTTTTTCCCCCAGAGGGTGGTGAGGCACTGGCACAGGTTGCCCAAGGAGGCTGTGGATGCCCCATCCCTGCAGGCATTCAAGGCCAGGCTGGATGTGGCTCTGGGCAGCCTGGGCTGCTGGTTGGCGACCTGCACACAGCACGGGGTTGGAACTGGATGAGCACTGTGCTCCTTTTCAACCCAGGCCATTCTGTGATTCTGTGAAATAGCATAAAGCCTTGGAAGCAGTTGGACAGATGGCTACGAAGTGCCACAGTGTGCTGTGAAGCATCAATCCTGTGGCTCCTGCAGGTGCTGTAGTGAGGTTTTGGCCTGGTCTAGGGCATTGCTTTATGAGAAGCAAGACCAAGAATAATAGTGTGATGGCACTGTGCTCAGAGAGCAGCAATTAACCCTACAAGGAAAGGCAGACAGGTGAAGGGCTGGGCTGCAGAGCTGAGGGCTGCATGGTGTTGCTGGGATTCAGATGCATGCTTCAGACAAACCTGTCATAGAGTCAGAGGTGATCTGCCATGGATCTGCTGCAAAGAAGCTCAGCTGCACTGTTCAACTCTTTCACAGCTAGAATGGTTATATTCAGATTTTAATCCTCTTGCAAACCCATGTAAGATGTGACTCATTGCACTAATTGCACTGAAATCATGGGACTTTACACTTAGTGTTAGATAGGAGTTGCTGAAACTTCCTCCTTTGTGCTTCAAACCTCCGTTCGTGACTTAATGGATACGAATATTTAAAAATTATTAGAGGATCCTTAATTGATATAGATATGTTGGTTTTGTTTTTTTTTGCTTGCTTGGCTTATTTTTTTTTTTTTGTAACAGGAGGATCTACAGGAATTCTATTTGAAGTTTTTGAGGCTGTTTAGACACTTGTTTGTGTATCAGGTAAGCAGATTGCAAGGTGATATCCTCAGTGCGTTAACGTTGGGTCAGCAGGCGTAAGGTTAAATGTTTGGGTGCTCCTGTGTGGAGCCAGGAGTTGGACTTGCTTGTCCTCATCGGTCCCTCCCAGGTTGGGACATTCTGTGGTTTTGGAGCTTTGGGAAAAAGCATTAATGCTTATCACAGCTATAAGCAATGTCACAGCTACAGACTGCGTTAGCTGCTGCGTCATCTATGGCAGGCTGTTTTATAGACTGGGACTGTTAGCTAACTTCATCCTGATCGATGATACCTCACGTATTAATGATTACCACAGGAATATATCTCCATTTTCCCAAACTAAGGCCGCAGTGACAGTTTATGTTCTTGGTTTTGAACACTAAATCTAAAGCAGTCATCTTTATATAATTCATCGCGTATCTTCATGATGCTTTCAATCCAGTCCTGGTGAGGAGCAAAACTAAAAAGCCAAGCAATTAAAAAATAAAAAAAGAATTGTGAATGGACTATGAGATGGTCCATCAGGCTTTGTTATTCTAAATGAAAATTAATTTTAGTTGGCTAATTGCTACCTTGCCTCGCTCGATTGCTTACATGTAAGTGGCTGCTTCAATTTGTAGTCTTTAATCTGATTCTTTCAGTCTGCTTTAAAAGCCTGTGTTGCACCTATTCTAGGCACATCAGGAGCTGTTTTGATCAGATGGGATTTTGTGAGCAGTTGTATTAAATTATATCTATAGGTATTTATTCCCTCCATGCTTGTGCTGTTTCTGAAGAGCTCTGTAGCAATATCTGTATTTAGATGCATACAACAGAAATGATGATGAGTGTGCTATGGGCAGCCCTGTCCTAGAACAGATAAGTTTTTAGGGTGCAATTGTCTGTAAGTTGGCACTGAGGAGCAGCAGAGGGAGTGCTCCCTCTGCACTGGGGCCATGGCAGAGCCTTGCTGTGCTGGCTGCGTGCAGCTGCACTCCTGCTGGTCATCCATCACAGCTTCTGGCACTTTAAAAAGGGGCTGGGAGGGAAGTTCAAGGCGTTCTGAGTAGCTCAGGTTGCTAATTTTGGTTCATAGTGCAGTCTTTAATTGTGGTGGTTTTTTTTGCTTCTGGGCAAAGCAAGAGAGAGGATCCAGCTCCATCAGCTCGTGCAGAACTTAGCGAGCACCTCTGTGCTGCTGCACTGCCTGCATGAGGAGCTCTGTGTCTGTACGTGCATGCTGTATAGATGTTACTGTATTTGTGTATCTAAAGGCATTTCTTTATATTTCCAGTGTTGTATTTCCTCCCCCCTCTGCTGTGATCAGCGTGAGCTGCTGCCGACAGCCAGATGTTGCTTTCAGTTTTGAGGCAGCCTGTCTGTCAAATGCACACAAAGCCAAACGCAGGCAAAACCAATCTCAAGTCCTTCTCTTCAGGGATTTTAGGATGTCTTCATTGTCTGAGCCAGATTGAATCGCAAGGATTCAAAAAAAAAACAACAACAACAAAGGAAAGATACTTGATGACTTTATTTTCTGTTTCCAAATTCCTGGTTTTTAAGGCAGATCAAAACGTTCAACTGCTATCCAACTTCTTGAAATTGTCCTTTGGTGCTTCAGGTGTAACCACAGGTTAAGCAGCATTATTTGAAGATACCCAAATACGAAGGGCATCTTGGAGCCACAGCTTTGGAGTTCACCTTCACCCAGATCCCTGCTTCCCTTGCCTTCAAATCCTTGGTGGTGGGTTTCAAAGCAAGTTCTGTATTCTTCACTTGGAATACCTGGCACTTCATCTGTTCTATGCTGATCTCTCAGATGTGACTCTCAGAGTTTCGTAAGTTGACATCTGTGCTGGAAAGGTGCACTTCTTTGTCAGGTTGTGTAGGAAAAATACACAATGGAATGAATGATTATCCTTCCTGTGCTGTAAGCGCTCGTATTCCCTTATCAGCCTTATGACTTAATGCAGCAATAAAATCCAACCAGGATTGGAGTCACGCAGCAGTGAAGTTGTAGCTGGGTGCTGCCCGAGGCGGGTGCTCTGCCCTCCAAAGCACTGGGCTGGCCTGGGGCTTTGTGGATCAGAACATAACTGTGGGCTGAAAGCACTGAGCTCCTGGTGCCTAGGCTGCAGAATCTGTTTGGCACCAAGCTGAAGACTTGCTGTATGATACTAAAGCCTGGGGAGAAATGTGGTCTCTACACTGTCCCACCCTTGGATGGGAAGCTTTGCTGTTTTGATTCCACTTTGGGAAGATGCAGGCGCTGTGAAGGAGCTCATGCATGGAGTTAGACCGAGTGCTGGGCAGGGCTGTGTCCTTGCAGGGTTCTGAGCCAGACTGATGTTGGGGTGGCATCTTCATCCTAAGCATGGCAGGGTTTGTGGTTGCTGTGCAGTTTTATGGTGATGGTTTTTTTTTTCTTTATCACTCTGTTGAGTGGGACGTGGAATCATTTTTCTGTAACAGTGCAGACTGCGAGAATTGCAATTGTTGCAGGAGTTGCTGGCAGATTTCTGCCTTTTTGGAGCTTTAGCTCATCAGGAATAGCTCATAATCCTGTAATACAAAAATGTGATTCCACACCTTTAGAGCTGAAGCACCTGAGCTGAATACCCATGAAATAAGGAGTGGATGTAAGGCACACCAGCAGACAGAACTGCAGTTCCCAAAGCAGCCCCTGTTGCTTTTTGCAGGCAGGAGATGGCTTTGTGCCTTGACAGCCTTGGGCTGCCTGGAAGCCCAGTGATAATGGCAGTGAACACCTCGCTCCCCTATTTCTTCCTTTCTGATTTTATCAGCAAGAGGCTTTTGTTGTATATGGTTCCTTGTCTAAGGTGCCTTTCCACTTACCTATCCTTTCCAGAGATGAGTTGTTTTGTTTTTGCTGTTTTTTAACAGTATGTCACAGCACTGCACCTCCTTGAGAAAAGGAAGCGTTGCTGGGTCTGTCCAAGTTGAGTTCTGGCATCAGAAAATGCTGTAGCTGAGGTCCTGCAGTAACTGTATGCCACTGAGCTTATGGGGGAGATAAATATGCTGTAAAACGTTCCATGCTGTTGTGTATTGTTGCAACTTGCTGACCTCGCTCACTGCAGTGCAACAAGAGATACAGAGCGCAGTGCCTGGGCACACGGAGCTCAGTCTGCTGCATCTGCCCCTACATTTGCTGTCAGCTTTGATCCTTCCTCCTTCAGCAAGCAGCAGTGCAAAGCACTTAATCATAGCTTCAGACAAAGGGGTGATCCTGGAATTTTCACTGTCACGTAGATGTGTTTATTTCTGATAAACCTGGGGGCCCTGAATGTGTAACCAGGTTGCACTTCCAAGAGAACAGATGCAAGGTGTCTGACACAGTGAGTGCTTCCATAAAGTATCAGCAGTGCTGTGAGGGGTGTAAGGTGTCCAATCTGCTGATATGGCATCATAGAGTCATTAAGGTTGGAAAAGCCAGAAGCTATCTGTGTTATGGGGCTTGAGGCTGTGGGATTTACCCATTTTGTGCTGAAAGGAGGGATTCTATCACAGCTGTAATGACTGCGAAGTTCCTGTGTGTGTTTTCGGTCTGTTGTTAAGCAGTGCTATATAATATCCTGTGGAAATTGTACTGTTAAATATATTACACTGATAACATCAGGAGCTTTGTTGCACGGTATTGCTGTTGCTGTAATTTTGGCCATGGATGGAGAACCACTGCCTGACCATGTTCTGCTGTCTGTGAAATACAGCACACAGAGCTCAGGGGGGTTTTGCCAAAGGCACCACAAAAATCGGGCTAGGCTGGCCCTGCTGGCTGAGGTGCAGCCTTTGTAATTCACCTGTTCTTCAGGGACTGGGTAGGTGGGCTTGTTTAGCTTGGAGAAGAGAAGGCTCCAGGGAGACCTCATTGTGGCCTTCCAGTGCTTGAAGGGAGCAGATGAACAGGAGGGGGGGGGGGATGCTTGTGAGCGTGGATGGTGATAGGACAAAGGGGAATGGTTTTAAACTGAGACAGGGGAGGTTTGGGTTGGATATGAGGAGGAAGTTTTTCCCCCAGAGGGTGGTGAGGCACTGGCACAGGTTGCCCAAGGAGGCTGTGGATGCCCCATCCCTGCAGGCATTCAAGGCCAGGCTGGATGTGGCTCTGGGCAGCCTGGGCTGCTGGTTGGTGACCTGCACACAGCAGGGGGTTGGAACTGGATGAGCATTGTGGTTCTTTTCAACCCAGGCCATTCTGTGATGCTATGGTACTCAGGGAATTATCTTCTGATCTCACAAAGCATAAGGTGTTGTGTTGTTGGAAGGCTCTGCTGGGATGTTTTATACCCATAGGCTGATAGCTGTGACAAGTGTTCTCCTAAAGAATGCATCTGTGATGCTCTGTGTGTGGATGGAAACATAAGAAAACGTAAGATAAGAAAATACAGAAACGTGGCTTAGAGCCCCAGCATTGAACCTGCAATCAAGGCAGGAACCACCAAACATGTGCTCTACTTCTGATGGGCTCTTATGCTCATGATTCCAGAGCCTGGTACTTAATAGTTTGGAAGTGATTCCTGGGTTCATTGCTCCAGTGTAGCTGTGTGCTGTGGGTCGCTGGTGCAGAACAGCTCTTCTGGCCCCATTTCCACAGCTGCCTTTGAGCGATGTCTGAACGCTGTCTTCCTCTTCGTGGACTTTTGTAATGAATTCTTAATGCAGCAACTTGTAGTTTTTCCTTCCTCTTCACATCAAAATTGAAAGTCAAGTGATGAGGCAATGGAGGGTATAAAGCGAGATTTAACTCTTTCCTCTTCCAAAGTAAGCACTGTTTTGTTTGTTTGTTTGTTTTTTCTTTTAATTTTGATTCTGAAACAAAGCAATTTGACCTCAAAATTCATCACATGCTTTTGTTTTCTTTCAGATCCAGGATGGAACAGCCCTGTCCATGCCTGCTGCTCTGTGTTAGCTTTCTGTTTGTGCGAGCTTTACCACCAAATGGAACTGAATTACCCAAACCCACCAGCACTACAAGTAAGGACAGCATTTAAGTTGTGAGGATGGGAGCAGGGGTGGAAGGGACTTCAGGTGAGGTCCCTGCAGTGGCATCATGAGTATTTTTGCGGGACTTTGACACCACTAATGCTCTAATCTTGCCTGATGACATCAATTTGATGTGTTTTATTGGTGCCCTACAGTTTACTTTCTGTTTCCAGTATCAGGGAAGTGCAGTGTGATGCTGACATATGAGGTCGGCGTGATGGGACTTGGAGACTGATATAATGAAATGAAATGAAGAGTTGATTGTTTAAAAGGCAAGGTGATGTAGCTAAACATTGTGAGCAACTAGAATTTTTGTGTGTATTCCGTGTTTTCAGTCCTATGAGCTATCTAAGGAAAGACTTGAGATGGATAAGAGCACAGCATCCTGCGTAAGATGAGCTCAGGTGAAAATAGAAGAGGTTTTTGTGAAGGCCCAAGGGAAACTTCTCCTCACCAATCCACCACATCTGTTCCACCTCACTCATTCTTCTCCTTCAAATTTCTTCCTTTTCCTCCAAGCCCTCCTATAGCTGTCCTAACCCATTGCAGTCCCATAGAGGGGCTGGCTCAAGACAGATATGAGTATTTTAAAGACCATTGATGCTGGTGTTACTTTCTGTAGTTGGATGTCAAATTTCAGTTGCTTGTTGCTCTTTTGCTTCCCAAACCTAGCTTGGTGCCTTCCACCTGCCCATGCTACTGCTGGGTCTTGATTGACTGACAGCAGTTATCTGTTGAGGATTTGGCTTGCAGCTCACATCGGAGGTGGATTTGGGTATGAATGGCTTCTCTATGGACTGGGCTGAAAGAAAATCAAGCTGATTGTTTTCCATATAAATAGCCTGTGAAATCCTGATGACTTCTGTTGTTGATGCCCTGTCTTTATAGGAAGGCATTTCTGTGTTGTTTTCTTTTTGTTGTTTTCATTCTGCCTGTGAGCTTTATGGCTGTGTGGCCAGGAAGCCAAGCAGGAGTACAGTGCCAGGCATGGCTGGTGGTGGGATGGCCCACATTGGCAAGCAGTGCAGGAGTTGGTGCTCAGCATACCGGCACCAGCAAACCTTAGGGTTGGTTAGAGGAGGAAGGGGTTCAAGCAGCAATGGAGAAAACTTCTGTGTTTCTGGTCTTGCATTAGATGTGGAGGTTGGTGGCCCTGCATGCAGCAGGGGGGTTGGAGCTTCATGATCCTTGAGGTCCCTTCCAACCCTGGCCATTCTGTGATTCTGTTGTTTGCTTGCAGCTTTGAGATGATGTAGAATGTTTATATCAATTCAAATGTAGCTGAGTATGAAATTGCTAGTAAATAGCTCTGCTGCGATGCTGTCAAGTAGTTGTCCTTGCCTTGCTTCTTCTCTGGCACTTGGAGCAATGTAAGAGCAAGGTGTTAGTATTTGTCTGAGTGTGTAACAGTGTGGGAATTGGGAAAAAGGAGCAGCTTGTGAGCTCTGCTGCTTCTGAGAATACTTTAATAAACTGAGTAAAAAGGGAGTTTGCTTGTAGGTGCTGTTCACCTTCAAGGCCAGGTTGGATGGGGCCCTGGGCAGCCTGCTCTAGTATTAGATATGAGGGCTGGCAGCCCTGCATCAGTGGGGTTGGAGCTTCATGATCCTTGAGGTCCCTTCCAACCCAAGCCATTCTATGGTTCTTTGATTCATGTTTTCATGCAGTATTGTGTTCACTGTGAATATGGTAATGTGGGTAAAAGAAATCATGTCTTAATTAAACCTTCATTTGAGTGATCCGGGTTAGAAATGATCAGTACAACTAAACTGCTTTTTAGTACTATCAAAGCCTTCCTTACTGTGCTGTGAGGAGAGGTTTTGTCTGTTTAAACAAATATGTGCACATGGAAAATATAATGTTGTATAGAGGGTTGCAAGACAGTAGAATTATCCTATACTTACAATAGCCATTGAATTAACACAATATTTTTAATTAAAAAAATTCTGATTAGAGCATTAAGAAGACTCTTGAATGGATGTGGAGGTAACTGAGAAGAGCTTTCATTTTGCATGCGGATTTGCTGAATGATCCAAAGAGATGTGGTGCATTTGATTATGAGAAAAACAGTTGTAATTTATTGCATGTCCTCATTCTGGAGGGGTGAATTGTTAAAACATTTGCTGAATTGCAATCTTTTTATTCTAAACTTGGGTGCACAATCGGTGTTGTGCAGCTTTTCCTCATATGGGAGTACTGTGAAACTGCTACTGTGAATTTTCCTTTTTGTAAACTCAGAATGTTGTCTTTTACTGCACCTTCATTTACTGGAGAAATTGTCAATGTAGATCAGTATTTATGTTGGTTTATATCTATCTTTCAAGTAGGTAGGACCTTGCACTATCAAATACCCCTAGCAAATTGCTTACAGATGATGCTGTCCATAGCAAACGCCGACTGGTTCGTTAAGGATTAATTAGTTATCCAGTAATAATCATGGCTGCATTTTTTTTTAATCTCTCCTTGCTGTGTTCTACCAGTTGGGTCATTTCGGTGGGAAAGCAGTGGCAGAATTGCACTACTGAGCTTTTAAGTCCTTTCCAAACATTGAATGTCAGCAGAGTTTACCGCATGAACACTTCATGTGTTTCATGCCCCTCTTTGTGCTTCCTTTCTGCTATCAGTACTGACATGTTTGGGTAATGAATCTATCAGATGAGCAGGAGCTTGGGAGATAACAAATGTGCAGCTTCTGTTGCCCTGTTTTCTGCTGATATTTTGAGATTGAGATCTTTCACAGAATCACAGAATGGCCCGGGTTGGAAGGGACCTCAGGGATCGTCAAGCTCCAACCGCATGCCACATGCAGGGCCACCAACCTCCACATTTCACAGCAGCCCAGGCTGCCCAGGGCCCCATCCAACCTGGCCTTGAACACCTCCAGGGATGGACGGGGCATCACAGCCTCTCTGGGCAGCTGTTGCAGCACCTCACTCCTCTCATAGCAAAGAACTTCCCCCTGACATCCAACCTCAGTCTTTCCTCCCTCAACTTAAAACCATTTCCCCATGTCCTGCTACCTTTCAGCTCTTAGGAGAGGTGCTTGAGTCCCTTGATCATTGTGATTCCAGCCTTCTCTGGAATGCAGAACATACGATGTGTTCTCTTGTACTGAAAGTGATGGGATCAATGTGTAGGAATGTGCTGAGATGCCAAGGAGTTATGCCCTGGGAGCAGTATTTATAGAAACAACAAAATTCTTCCATTTTCTCATGCAATCCAGAGATATCAGAACTGCCTGTGATAAGTGCTGAGTTCTGCCCTAAGTATGCCACTCAGGTGTGTCTTTAGCTCAAAATCAGCCCAAGGAGCAGCGTGAGAACAGCAATGCACACAGCATACCCAGTGCCTGCAGCTCAGCAACGAGTTGAAAGATGCTCAGCACTCCTACTTGGTAGATCCTCCATTCTGAAATTGCTCCTAAATTACTGCTTGAGGTTTGCACGCTCTCTAGGCAAGCTGGGTGCACAATCTGGTGCAGGCTGGGCTGAAACCTGCAGCAGAGCTGTGTCCAGAAGCTCCTGATGGAAGTGTCCCTGGTGGGAGCAGTGCCTGTGTAGCAATGCTGCTGTACCTGCAGGTGACAAAACAGCTCTGTTAAAATTGGGCTAGAAGTTTCATCCCTACTTGTGTGTTTGTTGTGTGGTATTCAGGCTGTGTGCTCTGTACACGTGGGATGGGTATGAGCTGTGTTGTGGTGCAGCCTGAAAAATGACAAGAGAAGGCACTTGAAATGTAACACAAGTTGGTGAGAGTGGTTAGCTTTGAGCTGTGGAAAGATGAGGATTGTATGTGTATTTTCTTGTCTGCAGGTTGAGAGCTGTGGATAGTTGGAGCCCGCTCTCAGATGAACAATGTCCTGCTTGCTCTTTGTCAAATCCCCAACTTATTTCAGATACATGACTTGCTAATCCACAATAAGTCATGTAGCTGAGCCTTTGTGGAATGGAAACAAAAAATAAGAGTTCTAATTCCACGTACATTCATGGGCCACTTCTCAGCCCCAGAGCTAAATGCGAAGGAACTGATCCAGGGATGAGGAAGGGAGAAGTCTGGGGGGAGCAGGGAAGGAGGAGGGCGGGATGCTTTGTGCTGCTGTTAGTTCCCTTTTGTTGTGGTCAGTTTTGTTTTTGGTGCTGGCACGCTAAAACTGGGAACATCCTGAGCCTGAAGGAAGCAGTGACGCATTGCCAGCAAAGGGCTGTGACAGCAGTGTGGGGGGCACGTGGGGCAGAGCTGTGGGCGGTGGGGGGACCACGAGGGTGTCACCATCCTTCTGTTGGCCATCTCTGCCCTTGCCGGGATGCCAACCACCAGCTGGAAAGCCCTGTTTGCTGTCAGCAGGAAGCCGTGTGGTTTGGGGCTGCTGTCTCCTTGGGGTGGTGGGACGTTTCCCTGGCAGTGGCTGCAGGACAGAGCAGCTTCAGAAACCACCGACCTTTCCTCCGTGTTCTGACTGATGCTTCAGTTGTCAGCTTCTGAAGCAGAACTGATTAAAGAAATATTTCAGGTCTGTGGGTCAGTTACCCTTTAAAATCCATGTCTGTGGGGGGTTTTGTGGGCCTAAGGGCTTTTTGGCTGTGAATCCATATCAGAGCTTCCTCTTACAACTTTTGGATTATGCTTATAAGATAGTGTAGGCAAATGTGGAAGAATCACACAGAATCACAAGGTTGGAAACGACCTGCAAGATCATCTAGTCCAACCACCCTCCCATTCCTATTGGTACCACAAGCTACTAAACCATATTTTGCAACTACTTGAAAACATGCCATGCTTTACGTGCAGCCTCTGCAGCATGAAGCCCCTGCTGTGGCCCTGCAAGACCAAAGCAGCTCAATAAATGTGCCCGTGTTCCAGGAGGAAGAATGGGGTGGTATCAAAGCTCAGCTTCCCATAGGAAAGGTTCTGAGCTCCTTCAGCAGCTGGCAGGGCTGCCCCGGCCTCTGCTGCCTGGTGGTACATGTCCAAAGCTGCCTCAGAAATGGGGTGTGAGATGTGTCAGCTCCTCGGAAAGGAGACAGGGGATTTTGCATCGTGTGAGGGACTGAGGGAAAATGTAATTTCCCGTGACTCAGGCTTTGCGCTGGATTTCTTTGCATCTCGGGTGCCTCGCAACCAAACTGGTTATAAGAACTGATGAAATCCCCAAGCCTTGGCTGTAGAGGATCTGAGATTGTCAGTCAGAAGCAGCAGAGGAGATTTTGGCTGCGAAGGACCGGTCTGTACTTTCTGTTTCTGTCTTTGTCAAGAGTGCTGTTTCTGTACGGGGCTCAGCATTGCTGCACGCCACTCAGCAGCTGGGACAGTATGCTGTGCTTCATCCAAGCACTCCCTGCCACAGTACTTCTGAAAGGCTCTCTAGTGCTGTTTCCTGATGACTCTTCTGTCAGCACTGCCTGTTTGGTCTCTAGATACCAGTGAAACATCAGGTTTTGTAGCCTTTCTTTTCTTCATCCTGTTACTCTGACTCAGGTAAAGCAAGTGACTCCGTACCTTCATGTGCTGTTAGTGTAACCTCACATCTCTCTGGGTTTTGTGTTCCCCATCTTTTTGGTGTTTCTTTTTAACGCTCTGACTTGCCTCCTGCTCTCTCACCTGTATCTTAAATCTAACTGCTTCCTTTTGGTGTTCATTCAGGATGTGGAAGAGCTGCACCCTTGGGTGCAGTGCTGCTGTCCTTAGGAGGACTTGCTCTGTGGGTGTACATGGCTACTGTACTCCTGTGGTGACTGTTTGTGTCAAGGCTTGTGGCTGGGACTGTTCAAAAAGTGTTTGCTGCAAGCAAACAAAATGAAAGAGTTTTGGTAAGCGTGAATGCAATGAAACAAATGCAAAGTGCCACTGTTAACAGCAGTTCTTATTAGATGTAACAGATTTCTTCCGTAGTCTTCATTCTGGGCAGGTGTAGAAGTTACTGTCTGTTGCCACATCTGTCATGGTGTGTCAGACTGGATGAGCTCCGTGTGCTTTAAGTAGACACTTGTATCTGTGAAGTAGGTAATGCCTGGCTGATTTCTGGCTGGCTGAGCAGCAGCTGCTGTGCACAGGATGCTTGCACAAGGAAACCTCCTGAATAGGCTTCAAGTGTTACTTAGCATCATGTGCTCCTTAAGCTTGTGTGGCACTGGCACAGGTTGCCCAAGGAGGCTGTGGATGCCCCATCCCTGCAGGCATTCAAGGCCAGGCTGGATGTGGCTCTGGGCAGCCTGGCGACCCTGCACATAGCAGGGGGTTGGAACTGGATGAGCACTGTGCTCCTTTGCAACCCAGGCCATTCTGTGATTCTATGATTTTGCTAGCCAGAAATCTCCACATCACAGGAGCAGTTTGTGCGCCTTGGAAGGAAAAAAAAAAAAAAATTCCCCCAATGTTCTCTTTCAGTTTGGCTTCTGTTACATAATTTGTGATGCTCTTAGTAAGTGCAGGACATGGTTGTGTTCCAAAGAGTGCTGATATCCTGTGCTGATTCTGCCTGTGCTGCACAAGGCAGTCTGCATCTGCAGCGCTTCACGTCAGCCTTGTTTCAATTTGCAGACTCTACAGAGGAGAACAACTTACACAAGGACCTGCTGACCTCCATGCTGATCCTGCTCCTGGTGTTCATCATCTTCATCCTGTTGGCCGGCTATTTCTTCAGGTATGTCTGTGTGGAGCTGTGCACGCATTGCTCAGCCTCACGTTGGGTTGATCTAATGAGGAAGTGAAAGCAAGGCGTGCGTGGGGTGCACAGCCTTCATCGCAGCAGGGAGCGAGCGGTTCTGCTCCTGGCTGCTGGTCGCAGGATGATGAACAGGAGCAGCTTCTCCAGGCTTACCTGGTTGGTAAAGGCTGGGCTGGAAAAACACCAGGTGCCTTTAAATGTAATTTCTCAGTTTAACGTGGTGTGTATGTGTGTGTGTGTTTAAGGTTCCGGAGACACAGGAAAGCTGTGGTGAGCTCTGGTGACAAGAAGATGCCAAATGGAATCTTAGAGGAGCAAGGTAAGGGGGGTGGGGGGTTGTTTTCCTTTTCTATGGGAGTTGTGTTTGTGTGCACACGTTTTTTTGTTAATCAAGAATTCAGTCTTTCAGTCATTAGTTATGTTTGCTGCTTACTGTATAATGTAAATTCGAGTTTTTAGTGAAAATAGTAAAAACAACAACATAAAACGACAGAAGTCCACGTTTATGTATCTTATCTATTCATCTCTCTGTTAACTTCCAGCTGTTGGGTTTAAACACCTCTCACTTTATGTTGGGATGCAGCAAATATTTCTTTGTAAACGTTCTTTGAGCTATTTAGAAGTGTTCTGTTATGATGCTGACTGAGATCTGAGTTTTTGGCACTGTGATCTTTGGATTTGGAGAAAGGATTGCACAATTTCTTCTTAAAAGAGGGAGAACCCCTCATTCACTCTGTGAAAGTACCAGCTGGTCCCTGCGCATAAGCAGAGAGAAGCAAGAGGATGGGATGGAGAAGAGGTACAAGGCAGTTGTGCCAAAATAAAGTACTCCTAGGAACGGATAAACACGTTCCCCTCGCCTCTTTGAATGTGCTGCTTTTACTTCCTTGAGCACAGAGCCCTGGGGCTGGTTGCTCTGTGGGGCTCAGGAAGTTCAAGTCTAGCACGTGTGTAGGAGCTGTTCGTTTCTTGCTTAGAAATTCTTTCTACCAAAACAAAGGGGAAAAAAAAATAACGTGAGAAAATTATTTTGGTGCTTTCAGTCAACTCCTTGATGCTACATTTGAATAGAAGAGTTGGTTAGAAGTAACAGTCATTGAGAAAGTCAGGCTGCTAAATATACAGAGCCCAGACTTCCTGCTCTGTGCTGGCTGCTGTGCATGAGCCCATGGCAGCCTGCTGGGAGCTTTCTGTGCCCCATCCATGCGGGGTCCTGACTCACTGGTATGGCTGTGTTGGAGCTTGGCTGCTAGAAATCATGCCAGCATATCATAGAATGGCCTGGGTTGAAAAGGACCATAATGACCATCTAGTTTCACCCCCCTTGCTGTGTGCAGGGAGCATTTGGGAGATAATCCAGTTTCGTGCTTGCTGTTGGATGCAAGTGAAACTTGTCTTAGTGAAGCAGGCTCTTAATTCCTCCCAGCCCTATTGAGAGACAAATGTTTGAGTTCCTGGAGGCCGTGCTGGTTCTCGTGGCTGTAAGATGAGGGTGACAGCAGAGATCTGATCCTGTGCTGCCTTGGCAGGCCTGGCCTACCCAGAGCATCTCTTCTGGCTTGCTGAGGCCAAGCAGGAACCTGCTCCATGCTGGGGTTCTGGCAGGTAATAAATACCAGAAATGGTCCCTCTGGTCCCTGCTATGCTGCAAAGCAGCTCTCAGCTTCTGCAGTGCTCCTCAGCAGGAGGAAGGGAATCTTCTCCTTTTGTAAACAAAGCTTGTTGCCTCTTTATCAGATGTAGGTGCAGAAGATATTGTTTTTACCAATAGTGGTTCCACTTGAGCCTGGTGCATTCCTGAAGAAGTCATTTGGCTTGTGCTTTTGTTTTTTACTTCATTTAAAATCAGCTTTGTAACTCATTGGAGCTTCATTTGAGAAGTGCATTTCGGCATCTTTCAGCATACAAATTTGCCATGTAAAATAATTTATCACTGTTCTGAACGTGGTTTTAACACTGATTTTCCTTGAACTGACAGAACAGCAAAGGGTGATGCTGCTCAGCAGGTCTCCTTCGGGCCCCAAGAAGTATTTCCCTATTCCAGTAGAAAATCTTGAAGAGGAAATAAGGATACGATCAGCAGATGAAGGGAAACTGTTCCGTGAAGAGTTTAATGTAAGTCCTCAGATTTGGAGTGAAGAGCAGCATATGAAAAATAAGGGGCAAATAGAAACCCATTTGTTAAAACGTTATGTGTGTGATGCTCATGTCTCAGAGCCTTAGCGCGTGTTACGTGAGCGTCCTGGTACAGTTTGTCATCCTTTAACACTCTTTCATTTAAGCTGGGTCAGTTTTGAGGCAGAACTGCTGTTTGTGTTAGGTTGCTTGAGGCATTTGGGCAGTTCCAGCCCAGTGCTCGCATCCCTTAATGCTCATACACCTCTGTGTGCCTGCTCCTGCTGTCATGTGTAGTCTCTCTTTTTCTGGGAGTAATCTGGAGCTGTGTGATACTGCGATGCCCAGTGTGTGATGTATGGACTCTTTGCCACTCACTAGCACTTAAAGATCTTTAGTGTTTGCCTGAAAGCTGGAGGGAAGTGAAATATCTTCAGCATTGACTTTTCTTGTTTGTGATGGAAAGGAGCATTTTTTTTACAAGTGAGTGCTTCACCTCTGTGGGAAGTACTTAAGGCAGGAGGAGAGAGGGGCCTTAATGTCACCCTAATGAGGTTTGGGGGTTTTCTGGTGATTTGACCGTCTGCACTTCATCATCCCATCACTTCCCTTTTCGTAAGGCTTGGTGCCCTCGCGTTTCCATTGAGTGTCTCAGCTGTGAGGGTTTTTCTTTGAAGCACTCGGTCAGAAAGGGGATTTTGTTTCCTGCACTCAACCCAACTTCAGCTGCATGTGGTCATGGTGATGAGTCTTATCCAGAGCCTGAGGTGAGCTGTTGCAGAGCCGGTGCCCGTGAGCAGACATAGAACTGCACTCCCACAACTTCAGGGACCTTTCCCAAACTTTTGTTATTCCTCTTCACTTCCCGTAGCAGCAGAAGCAAGTCGCACAGAGCAGGAGCTTAAATGTCAAATACAGAGTTCTCAAAGCCAATGCTTGCGTTGATTAGACAGTCTGTTATGTTACCTTCTTAATTGGTAGTGTATTTATAGCTGTGATTTATTTGACGATGTATTTGAAAGATATAATTTCTTTTCCTTGTGAGAGGAAGAGGACTGTGGAGATATTTATCGAAGTCGACAAAATGAATGCAAAAGCTCATTTGACAAGATGCACGCTTGTGAATTTTGACTCCCCTGATTAACATGTTCCCCAGTCAGGATTGAAGCAAGCAATCTGTTTTCATTTTAAAACCTCCTTTGCTCGGATTGCTTTCTGTGCCGTGCTGTGAGCGGGTGAGCTTCAAGTCTGAAGGCTGTGCTCCTGTGCCCACAAGTGAGCAGGCATCCATAGAGCAGGCCTGGAAGTGGCTGAGGTGATGGCTTGTAGCATCTGCTTGGAGGGGTTTGCACTTGGTTTCCCCTTGTGTTGCCTGTGGTTGTTCGTGTGGGTGAGAATTGTGCTCTGTCCTGGCAGCAGCGCCCAGCGGTGCCGATGCCTGCTGTGAGGTTTAGGGAGCACAAATACCTGGTCTCCTTTGCAGTTTTGAAGTAGATTTGGGCTGAAATCAGTGTTTTGGCCCTCCTGCGAGCTGGCACTGGCTGCACAGAGAAGCTGGGCCCAGGGAGTTTCTGAGGAAAGGAAAACAAAGTGAGCGCCCTTCTGCAAAGACACGCAGTGATAGAATCACAGCATGGCCTGGGTTGCACAGGAGCACAATGCTCATCCAGCTCCAACCCCCTGCTGTGTGCAGGTCACCAACCAGCAGCCCAGGCTGCCCAGAGCCACATCCAGCCTGGCCTTGAATGCCTGCAGGGATGGGGCATCCACAGCCTCCTTGGGCAACCTGTGCCAGTGTCTCACCACCCTCTGGGGGAAAAACTTCCTCCTCATATCCAACCTCAACCTCCCCTGCCTCTGTTTAAAACCATTCCCCCTTGTCCTGTCACTATCCACCCTTATGAATAAGATGGATGGTTTTCTTAGAATTGTGGTCCTGATTGTCATGCTTTCTGTTTTACACTTAAAGCCTAAATTACCCTACATTGCACACGTACACTACCCAAAGTAGCAGCTTCTTCATTTTTTGGTGCAAATGGAGCACTGCAGGAGCGTTCTTCTTCTTCACAGCAGAACAGAGCAACAAACAGTGCCCAAACCCAAATATATTCCTTCCAGCATGGGCCCCTCGGGTGAGCCTTGTCTCTGCTTATTGTCCATAGGGCAAAATGAGTGCGTTGTTTGTTGAAGCGTATGACGGCCTGGTCATTGCCTCAGTCTTCAGATTGATGAAAGGAAGATTTTTTTGAACACAATTTGCAGAAATTTGACTTTGCTGCCACGTGTCCCTGTGGTTTGCATGGTGGAAAGCTGAGACAACGCACTGATGTTGGGATAGGTCGTAGCCCTTCATTGGTGGGAGGGGAAGCAGATAAGGCTGTGCTGTGGCTGCTGACCCAGTGCCACCCTGATGCATCAGGTCCTGGTGGGGCGCGGGGGATGGAGTGCCACCGTGCAGCTGTGGTGAATCACATCCTCTGCTCTGGGGTGTGAGCAGTGAGGTGGGGTTCTCCTTTGGTGCGTGGGGAAGAGGCAGGGAGGTTTTTTGTGACTGTAAATGGATTTTAATAAGTTTAATTAGCAAAGAGGCTGTTTTCAATCAAATAAGGAGTTAAGCAGCTTACCGAAAGTAGCTTTCATTTTTCAATTCCTAGCTCTTATTTTAACCTTATCTCTACTTACCTTCACAAGTTTAAGTGATGCTGGAAAAAAAACCCCACGATTGCAAGTTGCTGTTCTTTCTGTGACGGTGGTGAGGTCCTCCCTTCCCCTCCGCCCCGTTCCTCCCTTTTAACCTGGCAGCACCCATTTGTTTCTAAGGAGAAATACTGAGCAGTGCTTTCTGACGGGCAGGCAAGGGCAGTTTCTTTAGGGTTCCTCATAAAATGCAGTCATTTCTCGATTTTCCTTTCTGCTTTGTGATTCAGGGAAGATGGAGCAGGTCTGGGGGAAGTGGAGGAGGAAGGTGATGGGTGGGAGAAGGCAGTTCTGACTCCCAGACAGCAGTTTTACCTTAACACTGCTCTAGATGTTCAGTAGAAGAACCTTGAAGTTCCATTCAGTTTACACCCTTGGCTGTGAGTGGGGTGTCTCAGTGCACACGGAATACAAGGCCACGTCTCCAAGTGAGCAGCATTCCTTGCTTTTCCATGGCCCCTCCCAGAGCATCCCTTTCATTCTCTCATGACTTTTTGGCAGGTGCAGCTCAGCAGCTCTGCCCGTGGAGGTGCAGCAGTCGCACCTTGGGCTCCTCCTTGCTTTCATCCTCACCCTCTTTATTTCTTTTCTTCATTTGATTGCTCTGCAAGACTTTTTTTTTAAGCCGGACTAAATTTATCTGCAGTCTGATATCTTACTGCTTACGAGCAGAATTTTGACTTGTGCTCTTACAGCGAGCTTCAATAGAAAGGAACCACTGCTTTTTTTCTTCCCTTTCAGCCAGAGTTGGGTCCTCACCTATAGATTTTGGAAAGCTATTTGATATTTCACGTTCTCAGCACTGGGCTCTTAACAATCAAGCTCTGTTCCCGTTATTAACCAACTGCTCTTGCTAAAAGTAGCTCTGGGAGCAGAGCGGTGCATCGGGGGCTGGGTCGCGGCGCTGTGAATCACGGTGGCAGATGGCATCTTAAAGCAGCAGCTCAGATTGCAACAGGCTTCTCAATGACTGCGATCGCTGGTAGAAAAAAAATCACTTATGTTTCAAAAGTGCTGAACTCGTTTTCTGATGTGAAATCTGCCAGGGCACGGTTTCCTGTTTTAGAGTAATGAAAGTTATTTTGGAAAGAAGTCAAATATGTTTGATTCTGTTGGCTGAGAGGCAGTACGTACAAATGCAGATTTGTCCTGTGCCACGTGCAGTCAGCCCTTAGCTGATGTAACACACTGACTCTGTGTATTTTATTTTATTTTTTTCAGTCTTTAACACCTGGATACGTGCAGGGAACGTTTGAAATGGCAAATAAGGAAGAAAACAGGGAGAAAAACAGATATCCTAACATCCTCCCATGTAAGATGTTACCCTTCCTTCTCAGCCAGGCCCTTAGCTGCCTGTCTGGCATTGAGCATGCCGCTGGTGGTCATGATTTCATTAGTTGCAGATGTTCTTCATGTCTCTATAAAACCTGTTTGTTTTGCCATGGTGTGTCTCTAGCTGTTGATCATTTTACGTGATGCTGCTGTATAATGCTAATCAGCTGTTGTTCTAGAAAGCCTTCAGCAGCTGGTGTTCTACCAAATGACAGTACATCAAACTGATATTTCAGGTTAGCATTGGGTGAGACAGCGCAGTGCAGTTTGGGCTTCAGCTGTTGTAGAGATGCGGTCCTGGTAACCCTCAAGTGTGAGAACAGTGCTTCTGTGGGGGAAGTTTCTTACTGAGAGCTGGGAGCAGTGCACGACTGGGCAGTGCTGTGCTGCTCCTCCAGCTGCAGGTCTCACGGCCACAAACCTTAGGCAGCTGCTGTCCCTTGCAGCTTTTGCCATTCCAGGCTGTGGCAGTAGGAGGGGGAGGGCCACCAAAACCCATCCGTGTTGTCAGTGGGTTTGGTGGGAGCTGATCTGAAGCGGCTGGTGTCCAGCCTGTGCTCTGGGAGTCAGCTGATGCTGGGCCCATCCTGATGTTTGCAAGGACAAAACCCAGTGCAGATGGTTCGAATGCAAATGTTCTCATAATGCTTTTTCTTCTAGATGATCATTCCAGAGTGATTTTGACCCAAGTAGATGGAGTCTCGCCTTCAGACTACATTAATGCATCATATATAGACGTAAGTTCAGTTTTTCTCTGCTAGCCAAACTGCTAACTTTGCCTGTAAATTAATATTAAATAGGTATTTTTGTGCTTGCACACGTTTGCAATTCATTTTTTAACTATGATATTTATTTCCTCAGGGTTATAAAGAAAAGAATAAATTTATTGCTGCACAAGGTAATCAGTTTATTCTCAAGTCTCAATTTTGTGTCTAAAAGTACTTAATTTTAGAAGTGTTTGGGTTTAGAAGTGTTAGGGTTGTTTTCAGGTGCAGATGGTGGCTAAATGTGAGGTGAGCTTTAAAGGTTAGAGTGTAAATGAAAGGAGGGTGAGCATGAGGGAGGCCACTGCCTTTTCACCCACAAATACTGCTCTCAGTTTGGAGACTCACTTCCAGCACTTGCACTTTGCTTCTCTTCTTTTATCTCATCCGGGGGAGCTGGGGGAGGAAAACTAATTGGGTAAAGAGAAATAAGTTGTTTTTGTTGTTGTTTGTTTCTTTTTTTAATTATTATTGTTTTGCTTGGTAAGGAATGTGGTGTAGGTGCTCTGCCACGTCTCTTGAGCAGGTCTGTGTTCTGTGTGCAGGACCCAAGCAAGAAACAGTCAATGACTTCTGGAGGATGGTGTGGGAGCAGAAGTCTGCCGTTATTGTCATGTTAACAAACTTGAAAGAAAGGAAAGAGGTAAAGGGCTTTCAGCACAACTGAGGGTGTGTGGAGGTGTGCTCCAGAAGCAGCTGTGGCTGCTCAGCATCTCCTTTCTTTTTTAGCCCTTCTTAGCACAAATGAGTGCCTGCTAATAAATGTAGGTTTAATTTCTAAAAATATGAATTTGTGAAAGAAACCTGATAGCTCATGTTGTCCTGCACAGCCTGTAACCAGAGGCACATTCTTGCAGCCAGAACTGTTAAAACTCAGTGTTCCTGCTGACTCCTATATGAGGACACCCTCACATTTCTCACCAAGAACACCTAAAGCTTAAAATTCAAGGGTCAGGACATCAGGTTCCCTTTCCATCACCAGAAAGCCCTTCTCCCATGCTGTTCAGTTTTGGGTAGCTTAAAAAAAAAAAAGTTTCTAAGCTATATTCACACCCTTCTGTGCATAAATTTAATCATCAATAGCACTGGCAAAGTGTTAAAGCTGTCTGCTGTCAAATGATCAACTCCACATACTCTTATGCATACTTACGTTCTGTGTTCAAGTAACTTCCTTGTTCTCTGTGTGACCAGCAATGAAGTCAGGCTCAGTGTTATAAAATGCACTGTGTGTTTCTGCAGGATAAATGTTATCAGTACTGGCCCGACCAAGGGTGCTGGACTTATGGGAACATCCGTGTGTCAGTGGAGGATTGCATTGTGCTGGTGGATTACACCATTCGCAAGTTCTGCGTCCAGTCGGTAAGGCGCAATCCTTGTGCTCCGTCTGCGTTTGAGTTTTTCAAGCAGGTGGTTGCAAAGTCCCATATCTGCTTGAAAGAAGTGAGGAAAATCAGTTTGGTGTGTTTGCAAATTATTAAGAAGGGTGCAGTGCCAGGCCTGGCAGGGTGGTGGGCACTGGGGGACAGCGGCTGTGTGTCTGCAGCCAACTGATGAAAAGAAGGCTCTGCTCGGTGCTGTTCTTACCCAAGGAGGCTGTGGATGCCCCATCCCTGCAGGCATTCAAGGCCAGGCTGGATGTGGCTCTGGGCAGCCTGGGCTGCTGGTTGGTGACCTGCACACAGCAGGGGGTTGGAACTGGATGAGCACTGTGCTCCTTTGCAACCCAGGCCATGCTAGGATTCTGTGTAGTCAGGTGCCGCAGAAAGTCACTCATTTGGATTGTCAGGGAGAGAGAACAGGAGCAGAGTGCTGACTCCTTGGGTCCCAGGAGAGAGGCAAACAGTGATGGTGGCTCCATACACATACACAGTGTGTTGCCTTGTATGGGTACAATTCCTGTAGATCTCGCTCCTGGAAGGAAAGGCTGTGCTGCTCCTAATGCAGTGATAATCTGATGCAGATGGAAGCCATCAGGTTAGACCGTAATGTTAATTTCAGCCAGTGCATCTAGTGAGAGGTGATAAGCTGTGCACAGCTGCATGGAAGTACTCGAATTTCACTTCTCATGTATGGTACACAGTGCTAATACTCAACGCAGGCCTTGTGAAGTACTGCAGAACACCCACCATTGTCCTCTACTGCGTTGATCCTAAGAGTTTGTCCCCATCTTCCTCCTTGTCCTAATAAAACAGTTTGCAAAAGCTGGCATTTGGCACCTTGTAACAATGCAGATCCTGCACGTTTAGATCACAGTTTTTGAGCTTCCTGTCAGGTTGCTAGAAGGAGAGTCGTGAAGGTTTTATGACAGAAAAAGGACTTAAGATTTGATCCATTGTTACCATAAATTGTGAATCTCGTTCTTCACGTACCCTACTTTGGGATTACTCCTTTTCTCTGCCAAGATGCATTTTAAGGATGTGTGGTAACGGATGTTTATATTGAATGTATGCTGTGAAGTCAGGATCCAGGTGTTGCAGGAATGCAAGCCATAAACAATCCTGAGAGTTCTTTTCTAAATCTCCGAGTGGAAAATGAAAGTCAAACTCAGAGCCCATGTATTCCCTGCAGCTCCACGATGGCTGTAAGGCGCTGAGGCTCGTGACGCAGCTCCACTTCACCAGCTGGCCTGATTTTGGGGTGCCTTTCACACCTATTGGGATGCTGAAATTCCTGAAGAAAGTCAAGGCGTTGAATCCTGCCCTTGCTGGGCCAATTGTGGTTCACTGCAGGTAGGTCGGCGTTCGTTAGGCCACTGTGCTTGTCTGACCTGGAGTTAGGGGCAGATAATGGAGGCTGAAGATGTATTTTCTGATAACAGGCTGTCAATTTTATGTGCTTATGGGTATATAATACTATGCTAAGCTTTTTTAGAGCTGGGGACAAGAACAATTCCAAAAGATCTGTCTTTGCTGTCACTTTCATATTCAAACAGAAGGTTTTGTTTAATCCGTGAGTGATCTTTTGTATAAATACATCCTTTGTCAGCATACAGCCTCGTCATTACAAATCTGTGACCTTCGCCATTAACTGCTCCTCTGAGAATTCATCCTCCACTTTTCCCACAACAGAATTAGTTTGCTATGTGAATTGTCAAATGCCGAGAAATCTTGAAATAAAGGCTTGCATTTAGGAGATTTAAATGCTGCAATGCAAGAAATGTACCACATACCAATGCAGAACATAATCCCACTCCTTCAGTTGCCGACACACAAACTTGTTGCATTAGACGTTTCTGAGAAGTGTTTGAAATTGGATGTTAAGGAAATCACAATAAAAAGGAGTTTTAGAAGTGTCTTTTTAGGAACATTTATTGTATCGAGGTTGAAGTAAAAAGAAAAGAGTAGTGGCCTTGTCTTTCTGGGTTTTGTTTTCAAGGCAATGGTTGTAGGTTGATATATTTCTTTCTTTTCTGTTGCTTATGTTGGATATTCAGAGAACATTGGAGAGTCACTGTGTGATGTCGAAAGCAGCCTGTTTGTCCTGCCCAGCCCAGCTTTTGGTTCTTCCCTATAGACCTTTCTGGGCTAGAACTTGTCTTCTCCCTCATGTGTCATACATCGGAGTCTTGAGGAAAACTCTTGCAAGGAATGAGATTTTTAGCAGTGTCACACAGCCTTTCCTTTGGGAAACCCTCTTGCAGTGATGTTCTCTGGAGACCAATGCTGGGTTTAAGCAGTATTTTGCACAAGCAGGAAATTCTGTGCTTAACTTAATCAACAGAAGTTGAGCCAAAATAGAGATAAGTGTAAAATATCTCATTAATATCTCCAGAGATTTCAGTCAGCCAGTGCAGCACAGCACACTGATGCCATGACGTGTGGGCTGGGCGATAGTGCAGAGCTTCAGTGTGTGCTCGAGGTGACAAGTGAGGAAGGTGACACTCGATTTCCGTCACGGCCAGGATGTGACACTATTGAATTGTTGGGGAAAGGAAAGGGAAACTCATTGGTAGTGAGTAACCATGCTTTTTTTTTCTTCAGTAAGCTTTTACAAGGATACCATCCAGTCATCCTAAGCAACAACTGAGTGAGGGGGGGCCCAGAGGGGGATCGTGTGGGGAAAAGCAAGGGGCTTTAAGGCAAACATGGGGGTCAGTAAAGTGAGCAGCCTTTGTGGGAACATGGTGGGCTTGTCGGCGGCACGGAGAGGTCACACATGAGTGGAAGAAAGCAAGAGGGAAGGGAGGCTTGGCGGTAGGAAATGGCCACAGGCAGAGATTGTTGGTGGGGTGTTGTTTGTTTGCTCGTGCCCTGATATTATTTCAAACCTGATTTTTTCCTTGCTGAGAGTTGAGCTGTATCTTTGGGCACGTGGGGATGGAGGGAGAAGTGTGTGTCATGATTTGGGACCTTGCAGCAGTGGCTGTATGAAGTAAGCTAGCAGAAGGTCAAAGGAGGGCTATTAATGCCTAGCACAGGATGCCATGCCCTTTTCCTCTGAAAGGAAGAACTGAATGTCGCTGGAGTGATGTAATTTGTGGGAATCTTGCTCCCTCTTGTGGCTTTCGGAGGATGTCTGAAAAGAAAACAAAATGGGAATAGCAGCGTTAGGAAGTGTAGAAGTCACAGCAAGTTACTAAGTGTCTAAGTAGTGTGGAATAGCAACCATGCAGGTAAGTGCTAAAAAGAGAAATTATAGCAGGACAAGCACAAGTTCCAATGGTCTTCGAGTAATATAATTTTGGTCAGCTTCTGAGCTGTTAGAAGAGGTTTTTTTAATGCTAAAATTTAGTTTTGTCGTTATTGTCACTACTAAAATAAGAAGTGAAGCCCCATGTTTCGCAGTGATGAGAATTTTCGTTGATTGAGAGCAGCACAAGTTCCACCTCTGTCATCAGTGCGGCAGTTCCTGCAGACTCTGTTGTTCAACTGAGGGATTTTCTTGTCTTTTGTTTCCTTCCGAAGCGCTGGTGTGGGCCGGACGGGCACGTTTATCGTTATAGATGCCATGATAGACATGATGCATGCTGAGCAGAAAGTTGATGTTTTTGAGTTTGTTTCAAGAATACGCAATCAGCGCCCGCAGATGGTTCAGACTGATGTAAGTAGTCACCGGTTGGAATTACAGCTCTCCAAGTTTCAAGCCGTCATTGACACAAATAATGTACGTGTGTGTGTGAGCGTGCCCTGTTCCACTGCATGCCTGGATAACTGGAACAGGAACCTTGCTCTAGAGGGTGGCAGGGGGGTGGAACTGGGTGATCTTGAAGGTCCGTTCCTACCCAACCATTCTATGGAAGGTAGCACTGGGAAAGGAGATAGAGGCCTTGGCAGTAAAGACCACGCCACAAAGCACGATATCTTGTGGTATGTCCAGGCTTTCCCCTTGTGTGATTGAATGGAATTGTAAAGAACGTGAATGATGTGACAGGAATTCAGTTTTAGCCTTAGGTGTGTGTTGGTGATCAGGTTGTTCATTACTGAATGAGACAGATGAAAGTGCCAGACATGAGATTGTTTTGCTCCGTTGCCTCAGGGGATGCTTATCTGCCTGCTGTTTGTTCCAGATGCAGTACTCCTTCATTTATCAAGCCTTACTTGAGTACTACCTCTACGGTGACACAGAGCTAGATGTGTCATCCTTGGAGAAACATCTACAAACATCACACAGTGCAGCACCAAACCTTGTCAAAATAGGGCTGGAAGAAGAATTTAAGGTAAGTAGGAAAGGCCTTTGCTCTGAGACTTTCAAGTGTCAAAATCCTCACGACAAAAAGGTACTTTAGAAGCAGAGCAAGTGCAATCTTAAAAGAGAAGGGCTGACCAAACTGAGATGCCAGTTGTATTTTCAGCTTGTTGTGAATTGCTCCGATGGACTCAGTGATGGTGGCACATTCAGACCTACATCATTTGATGGGTGTTTTCCCCTATGCATTTTATTTGCTTATAAAAAAAACAAAACAAAACAAAAGGAATTATTCTTCTGGTCTTGAACTGGATGCCAGATCAGATAAAGCTGGAGGATGGAGCTGGATTACATTGACCTAATTGGCGTGTCAGCAGAAATGTTAATTCAGTCACTGCTGCTGGCAGAGTGAATTATGGAGAACTCTCACATTTTGTGCTGAACACTCACATCTTCTGTGGGGAAAAAGGAAAAAAGAAATGTTTTGTGGAGAAACCCCTAATGGAGAAACAAATGATACTGGATTTTTGTGATGGCTGTTTAAAACAGACTTTAATTATGCTGAGGAAATAGAACTTTTCTGTGCTACTTACTATGCTGAAATATGTACTCTAGATCTAAAAGATTAAATCACTTCAGTCATTCAATCCAAGTGAATTCAGCGTTCACTGCATTTCCCTTCTACTTTTAAAGGATTCATTTAATCAGAAATTGGGAACTGGGAGAAGAAAACGAAGTAAAAGTTGAAGCAGCAAGTTCAGAATTCAAAAGTATGACGCTGAGGGGAAACAAGCAAGCAAACACATAGGAATTCTGGAAAAACTAGAATACTCAGTGTTGTTTTTTGCTGTGCGCTGTGCTAGAAAGGCTTTGCAGGAAGCTTACGAGCAGCGTTCAGTTGTGCTGTGTGTTCTGAAAGATGGTCCAGAGGCACGGAGCTCATCCACAGCGAGCAACAGAAGAGTGCTCTAACCAGTGTGGGACCCTCTGACACACACAGTTAACCACAGTGTTACAGAGCAGCTGAAAAGTGATTTCTGAGATGTGGGAATTTCTTTTTGATGGTTCGTTGGTGGTACTTGGATTTTTGCTGGAATTAGAAGTGCTTCTGAAACTGGCAAATATAGAAAACTGCCTGAAAAAGTGCTTGCGGTTTGCAAATTAAATTCAGATCAGTACAAATTGAAGTTGTATTAAATAGCTGCTGAAACACAGCCCTGTCACTGGTGGTTACCTGGCCAATCCCCCCAGCAGAAGCAGCTGGTTGCTGTCAGGTCAGCTGGCACAACCATGCATGTGTGTAAACTCTGCTATTACAGATTGGTGGGGCGAGGGCAGTGCTTGTCTTCTGTGTCCTGTGTGTGCTCTCATCACTGATGAAGTAGAGGGCATTGGTCACTGCAGCAGCAGTGGCACGGATACGTGGAGCCCCATGAGGTTATTTGGTGCACAGCAGGCTCTGAGCCCGTGCAGCCTTCTCATGCCCTGCGGAGCATCGCAGAGTTCTAATAATCTTAAGAAGGATCGTTGATAAATGAAAGATTGCTGGAGGAACAGGATGAATACGAGCCTGTGAGTTCAGTGTGCGTTTCGGTGATGGGGGAAGTGGAGGTTCTAAAAAGGGAAGTGGTGTAGAACTGGAGCGTGTGACTGAGCAGCCTGCTGGGTCGTGCTGGGTGTGCGGAGCTGCTGGTTGGACACGATGATCTTAGTGGTCTGTTGTGTTATTCTCATGATTACATTTGTACAGACAAGGCAGCAAAGCGGCTTTTGCAGAATCACAGAATGGCCTGGGTTGGAAGGGACCTCAAGGATCACCAAGCTCCAACCCCCTGCCACATGCAGGGCCACCAACCTCCACATTTCACAGCAGCCCAGGCTGCCCAGGGCCCCATCCAACCTGGCCTTGAACACCTCCAGGAATGGACGGGGCATCACAGCCTCTCTGGGCAGCTGTTCCAGCACCTCACCATTCGTAACGGTCAGCTAACTATGACTGCACTATTGGTCTGTACCCAGTGAGCAATCCTCTGGGTTATGAAGAATATAATGAAATAAAACCATTTCCGTTTCAATTAATCCTCGTCCTCGTTTGTGTGCTTCATTACAGAAATTAACAAACGTTCGAATAATGAAAGAGAACATGAGAACTGGCAATCTTCCAGCAAATATGAAGAAAGCTAGAGTCATCCAGATCATCCCGTGTAAGATGATTGACTTTGTGTGTGTATAGAAAGTGGTGCTGTAAATGTGTGGTTATCCTAAGGTTGTTGTGAGTAAATGTAAGTTATGCCTGCGTGCTGGTGGCAGTGCAGCTCGTATCAGAATACAGCTGGGCTGGGTAAGTCAGGGACAGAGTGATGTCCTTACAGTGTGTGCACAAAATGTCTGATAGGTAGTTTTAAGAACAGAATGAAATAATGGAGCCGTTCCACCTACTGCACCAACGTACCTTCTGTACGATTCCTTGCCTCCTCCGAGGCAGTGCTGCAATGTGTGCACATGAACATAAGTGTTACACCTTGCTTGCTGTGTGAATGCAGAAATAATCCATAGAAAAAATACTGCCTTCCTCCACACACTCGGTAGATCCTGAGTAAGATCTTTAGGGCTCCTTGTCTGGCTTTCAGATAAGCAATTTGTAGTTCTTCCACACGTGTAATTGTGGAACGGTTAACATGCAGTTAGCAATAAAAAAGAGTGAATGTTTGTGTTTTTTTTTCCTTCCAGATGATTTTAATAGAGTGATTCTGTCAATGAAAAGAGGGCAGGAATACACAGACTACATCAATGCTTCCTTCATAGATGTAAGTATAAATATTTTCAATGCATTTAGGCTACAAGTCAAGTATTTTACTGCTTCTTGCAAGTCTTCTTAAAGAGTTTCAGCCAAGTTGGCTTATGAAGAGCATTAGTTTTGTTTGGGCTTGGCTTATGAGAGTTCCCAAATGAATTTCCAATCTTATTCAGTGTTCTGAATTCCAGTTTAAATGTTGTGTAATTTAAATGTTCCTGTTGTTGCTAGATTTATAAACTAAGGTTTGTATTCAGTTCTGAGAAAAGCAGGCAGAGAACCAGACTCACTAAGCAGCAAACATCCAGCAGTTCTCTTGCCTGTATCCAGGTTAATAAAGAGTCTGTTTGTGGTTTTGAACTCAAATATGTAGTTCCCCCTCTCCACTTCTATCATGGAGAACAGCTCTCATAGTGTTTGGGAGCCAGCATTTACTGAGGGGACCTGCATTAATTCCCAGCTTTGTTCCTGGCTTCCTGATGGAACCTGGGCAACACTTTCCATTCCTAAGTTTATTTAAATATGGCAATTAATTATATCCCAAAACAATAAAAGCCCACCGGTGACTGAGGATTGTGAATACTCTACAGTGTGATCACATCAGTACGGAAATAGAACTGTAGTAGCTCAAAAAATGAGTCTAATGTTCATTCCATAGTAAAGGTAATGACTGCAGTTGTTAATAATCTCCTGGTGAAAACCTCAGCTCTCACAGCAGAACTTCATTCCTTCAGCCACGGCTGTAAAAAGTCATAAAGTAAGACTCAGGATCGTGAATCTTCATTTCTGAGAGGAGGCAAGGTGAACTAATGAGGACAGTGAGCAGCAGGAACTGATGGTGCTCCTTAAAGCAGAGCCTGTATCCAGCCCCTGATGTCCGTGGGGCTGCTTCTGTGTTACTGCTGTGACCCGTAGACAAAAGGATTGAGAATGTGGATTTTCAGATCTCAGGCGCATTTCAGTGCTGGAGGGGTGAGCAAGAATCGGGTGGGCTCTGCATCCCCAGAGCACGTGGAAGATTTGGGTGATGCTCACGCTGTGCAAGAGCACGTCTCGTGTGGGCAGCAGCTGAACAGAAGCTGGTGCTGCTCTCTCCAAACACCGACTTCTGTCTGTGCTGCCATGACGTACTCACAACCCAGCCTTTCTCTGCAGGGCTATCGCCAGAAGGATTATTTCATTGCCACGCAAGGGCCGCTGCCACACACCGTGGAGGATTTCTGGCGGATGGTGTGGGAGTGGAAGTGCCACACCATTGTCATGCTCACAGAGGTGCAGGAGAGGGAGCAGGTATGTGTCCCACGGCTCCATTTTACAAATGTAGTAAATATGAGTCTTCACACTAGATTAACACTTTGCCTACAAATTCTAGCAATGTGAGATTTGTTGCCTTTTCTGAAATTTCTATGATTCTGTAGATATTAGGAGGAAGTTTTTCACACAGAAGGTGGTGAGGCACTGGCACAGGTTGCCCAAGGAGGCTGTGGATGCCCCATCCCTGCAGGCATTCAAGGCCAGGCTGGATGTGGCTCTGGGCAGCCTGGGCTGCTGGTTGGTGGCCTGCACGCAGCAGGGGGTTGGAAGTGGATGAGCATTGTGGTTCTTTTCAACCCAGGCCATTCTGTGATTCTAAATGAGCTCTTGCTTCACTAGTAGGTGTAGGCCAGTGTTGCTGCTTTTGCTTGATTTGTTGGAAAAAACACCTAAGCTACAGAATTGGTTTTCTCAGGGCCCAGTTTGCTTTTAAAAGCACAGTTCTTAGGGATGCTTGATGTGGGTCTGAGAAGAGCCAGACAACACTTTCTTGAAAACTTCCCTCTCTGTTACATCTCTGTAAGCTTCTGAACCTCTCCTCTGCATCCTCTGTCATTCATTAATGAAGAGAACAGCATCTCCCTGCTCTGCAGTGTTCACCTTATACTTCAGTGCCATTAAATGGTTTCTGTTGTTGCATTTTTCTGTTGAGTATTTTTAACAACCCTGCACTGATTGTAAGAGTTACTTAGTTTTCTCCTGGTCTGTTTGTAAAGCAGCATTTATCAGATATGACTTCTGCTCCCGTTTCATCTTAATGCTTTGTGTTACAGAAATGTTTTACAATTGTGTTTTTGGACTCTAGCCTTTTCATTGCAAAATGTCCAGAACACGTTATGCTTTGTCACATCCTGTATCACAGGTTGGTGGTGGTGTAGATAAGTGGAAAAAAACGAATCAAGGAATGCTTACAATTCCCTCTCCATTTTGCAGGAGAAGTGCTTCCAGTACTGGCCATCAGAGGGCTCAGTAACTCACGGAGAGATAACTGTAGAAATAAAGAATGACAGCCTTTTAGATGCCATAAGCGTAAGGGACTTCATAGTTACATATAATCAGGTACTGTTTTTAATTATATGAGTTGTTTGTTTGTTTTAAGGCATTCGTAAATGTGATGATGTGACTTCAATGCTGGCATTTCTGACTAAAGATAACTGCTGTTAGTTGTCATCTGTCACATTAGCAGCCACGAGGAAGCTTACATGGAACACTTGCATAAAGTGTCATGAAAATCTTGGTCAGTAAAGCACGCCTTTGATCAAAGCAAGGTGTGGGCTTTTTGGTAGTATTTTGCTCTGCTGGCATTCTTGCCTTTCCTACCATCTCTCATGTACCTATTACTGAAAACTTAATTCCAGATATAAGAGTCCTGTGAAGCATTCCAGTGCACACGTACTTACCTCTGCCTGGCAGCTGCCCCTTCATGCACCTCTGCTACAGGCAGGCTCTACACAAACCTGTTTTTGAACTTACATGCATCTCTCTGCTCACTCCTTCATTTCATTCAGAACTGGTTTGCATTGCTACATTTGGGGGAAAGAAATTACGGGCAGTTTAGAATATGATGAATTTAATTAATTGCACTGCATCTAATTTATGCACTTAGCTAGCTGGCATGTGCAGAGCCAAAGGCCTCTGAAATGCTGTGCATTTCATTTCATAGGAGGATGGTGGATAAGGTGTGAATACGCAGTGCTTCGTGTGAAGTCTGTTCCCAAACATCCTATTGAATTACATATGGAATAATGATGGAACATTCAGATTGCCTGGCAAAACTGGCAGGGTGGTAATGCTCACTTGAACTTTTAGGGCTGCTTTTAATCAGCTGACATAAAGGCAAGACAAGTAATGTTAGTTTCAAGCTAAGAGGCAGAGGTAATGTAGAAACAGAACTCTTACATGTATGTAGATATGTATGTAACAGATTCATATATAACAGACCAGGTTGAAAATAACCCCCTTCACCGTGATGGTACAAAACCTATGCTTATCTTTAAGGTATGAAGTTCATTGCTGTCTGGAATTAACATCTGGATGAACCTGTTCTTTGCATGCACGTAGGGTAACCAAGAGAAGCAAAGCAGGCTGGTTCGGCAGTTCCACTTCCATGGGTGGCCAGAAATCGGAATTCCTGCGGAAGGAAAAGGGATGATTGACCTGATTGCAGCTGTCCAAAAGCAGCAGCAGCAGACGGGGAATCACCCCATCACGGTGCACTGCAGGTGAGACTCCCTTTCCTTCCCACAGTCAGCCAAGTGCTAGGCTTTCTTTTTCTCCTGTCTGGCTGCTGGTAGAGCAGCTCTCCTTTGTGAGCCAGTGGGCTGCATCCATAAAAAAAAGAAGAAATACAAGGCAAAGAGAGAGAAAAGGGAAAATCAGCATGTCTCTGACCTCAAAATTGATTATTTAATCCATAGAGGTGTTTTGATAGATGAGCCCAAGTTAGAATTAGGACTGACTTTGTTAGAGCTGTTCTCCGCAGTGCATGCTGACTTCTTGTTTCTTCTGATGTGAGTTTTAAAGAGTTTCTGAAGAGTCTCAGCCTGAGAAGCATGGTCTGTATTTTGGCTATCTGCAGCATCGTGCATTTTCAGGTGCTGCTGAAGCAAAAAGATCCTGGGATCTCAGCTTTGTTGGAGTATTTTGGACATGGGGATCTTGCAGTAGCATGTGTTCATTGCTAAAGCTTTCCTCTCTTTCTTGTTTACTCACTGTTTTGCTCTTTGCTGTTCTCATGTGTTTTTCCTGGGGCATTGTGTGTTCCCCAACCCTGTGGTGGCTGAACTCAATGGCAGCAATGTTATTTTAAGTTTGATGCTTCCATTTGAACAGCCACTTTTTAATGAAAAGCTGGGGAGGTAAAATTCTGAGCGATAGTGACAGTGGGTAAAGTATCAAATAGTTCTAACCAGTAAAGTGAGAGGTAAAAGCAATTGTTGTCTTTGATATACACAAATTAGATGCATAAGAAGGTGAGGTGCTGGAACAGCTGCCCAGAGAGGCTGTGATGCCCCGTCCATCCCTGGAGGTGTTCAAGGCCAGGTTGGATGGGGCCCTGGGCAGCCTGGGCTGGTGCCAGATCTGGAGTTTGGTGGCCCTGCATGCAGCAGGGGGTTGGAGCTTTTGATGATCCCTGAGGTCCCTTCCAGCCCCAGCCATTCTATGATTCTAAGAACTATGTGGGTTATGCATTGCTGCTGCTACTTTGAGCTTTCAGCATTGCAACCAATGCAATTAAGCATTGGCTTAATCATTTGGAGTGAATTTTTCAAAACTTGCTGTAACAATTAAAAAAGGGGGGGGGAAAAAAAAAATAAGGACAATGAAACTAAGCATGCAATGCGCCCCAGGTTTTACCACACTGAGAATTTTCTGCTGCATCTGTTTTGACATCCCCTACACAGCATAGTTGAACCCCTCCATGAAGTCAGACCTGAGGCTTCAGATGTAAATGAATGTAAATTTATGAGTAAGTAAACACATCTCAAGTCAAAGACTGGTTTAGAGGAGTGCTCACTTAAACTTGTGGAAACTGCAGTTTGTTTTTTCCGGATATTAATGAACCCTTTCAGGAACTGTTGAAGACAGCGATTATTAATTGGGACAGAGGCACGGCCCTAAGTGGATTAGAAGGGTTTTGCTGACTGAGTTGCCAACGGAATTCAAAGCCAATCTGTTCTGAATCCCAACTCCCTTCACTTCCAGTGTACGTCTCCCACTGCCTTCTGTTTAGCTCACAGCTCCCCGTGCTTTTCTCTCTTCACTCTTTCTGTTCTGTAATAAACAACGCCAGACTGCAGGGTTGTTTGAAGGCCCCTTCCTTCTGCCTCCTGCCCAGTGTCCTTTCAGAGCACCCTTGGCTTTGGAACTTGTCTCGAGAGAAGTTTGAGAGTCAAAGTGAAAAGTTTCCTTTCCTTAAGGCAAGTGTTGAAAGAAGTGCAGAGAGAGAAGCGGGTACGAAAAGAGCAGCGCCGTGTTCCCGTGAAATGCATCTACTTCTTCATGGTATTTCAAATGCAGTTCTCTATACAAAAAAATCTTAAGCCAACATAAACCAAACTCTTCAAAGAGATGCTGAGAATGTGTTTTGGGAGGAAAGAGAGTGAGTGTTCAGCATGAGGAGTATAGACATAAACACATGAAGAGCAGTGTGTGGATGAGCACCCTGTGCATCCCGGGTTACTCCATGTCTTTTTCCTCCTACTTTTGGAGCTGTAGATGAAGGGCATTGCTCACGGGTTGCTTTAAAAGCCACATATTGTTACTACAGGTTAGCTAAGGACAAATAGACCTCAGCCCAGTTAGATTTCACAGATTTTGTCTTTAACCTGATAAAAGTAATTATCTGAAGGGAGGGATGCATCCCATGCAGCATTCCTGTTTGTTTTTCCTCCAGCTGAGGATGTGTGCACTTGCACTTAATCTTTGCATAGGGCTGTGCTTATCAGATGTTTTTTCATTTGATGGGAATAAGATAGAAGCAGTGATACATGATTACATTTTATCTGCTTGTAAATGATTGAAAAACATTAAAATTTTAAATTTCATAAATTATTTTTTGTTTCTCCTTGTTCTGCAATCCAGCTTACCACCGAGTGCTAAATTCCAGCCTGTTTTTAGTGACTATTGGCCTGGCAGTGCACAGCCACTGTTAATTGTTGATGTTTTTGTGGTTGTATTTGTGTGTGTGTCTCATGGGCCACAATTCCGTTAGAAGAGAGAAAGCACTTCTTTTTTTTTTGTCTCTGATGTTAGGTGTCTAAGTCAGGTAACAGTCACTCAAATCTATTTTGCTGGTGTAGAATTGTGGTCTGAAGTGAATAAAAGAGCAAAATATCCTGAGTGAAGCATGCCAGAACAAAAGGAACCACAGTTACTGGGGACTATATTTGGTGGCTTGCTGTAATCAGGTTAGAGGCAATCGCTTCTGTTTAGTTGTATGTAACATCACCCTGCATGCAGACTTAATGGGGTTTTCCTTATATTAACTTCCCTGTTTGAAAAGGAATGATTCAGATTGTAAGAGCAGTTACAATCTTTTTGTTGGATTGGACACTGGCCATCATGTTGCTTTGGAATAATAATTCCAGTGAATCATAGAGTGAATCACAGAATGGCCTGGGTTGCAAAGGAGCACAGTGCTCATCCAGCTCCAACCCCCTGCTGTGTGCAGGTCACCAACCAGCAGCCCAGGCTGCCCAGAGCCACATCCAGCCTGGCCTTGAATGCCTGCAGGGATGGGGCATCCACAGCCTCCTTGGGCAACCTGTGCCAGTGCCTCACCACCCTCTGGCTGAAAAACTTCCTCCTCCTATCTAGCATAAACCTCCCCTGTCTCAGTTTAAAACCATTCGCCTTTGTCCTATCACCATCCACACTCACAAACAGCCGTTCCCACTCCTCTTTGTAACAGTGTCTTCAATTCCTGCCTGGCTCACAATTCATTCGAATTAATTCTGGCTTGCTTTCAGCATGGCTGACGTGAAAAAATCAGCTGCTATTAGTATTTGGGTATTCTCTATCAATATTATCTTTGCAGTTTTTATCCTGCTGTATGCCAAGCAGATGTGTTTGTGTTGCAGTGCCGGTGCTGGAAGGACAGGTACATTCATTGCACTCAGCAATATTCTGGAGCGAGTGAAGGCTGAGGGGCTCTTAGATGTATTTCAAGCTGTGAAGAGCTTAAGACTGCAGAGGCCACATATGGTGCAAACACTGGTATGGTATTTAACAATCCGAACCTTTCTCAAAGGATGTATGTTTGTAAATATCCTTGTGGGAGGAGAACAAAGGGGGTTTGTTGCAGGTTGAAATAAATAATGTATGACGGCTGTGTATGAACAAGGCATCAGAAATCTGTATCTTTTCCAGATTTTTTTTACAGCCTGTCTGAAAGTAGAGCTTGGCTAAACGTTCCGTGCTTTGTTAGGAACCGGTGACAGTTAAATAAACCAAAATCTTGTTTGCGGTGCTGATGACAAAGTCAAGAAGTAAATGCCTTTTAAACCCTATCTCCATAGCTCAGGTTTTTCTTTCTTTACATGAAAATGTCAGGGCTGAATGGGCTTGCTGTTGTCGCATGGAGAAATGCTGACTTGGTGTGAGGGTTTTCCTTACTGATCAAACAGAAGAAAATGTATGGGGACACTATTTTGGGAAATACATAGAAGCACTGATGCTTTGTGTGTTGGTAACAATTTCCATTAGGAACTCCTTTAGAAACAGTTATCTGAAAGCAGCTTTCCCAGGTAGAAATCTCCTTGTTATGAACTGGGGAAGGGGCTGAAGAGCTCTGCTGGGATTAACTGCAGGGAGGAAATCTATCTTTTGGGGCTCCGGCTCTGTGGTTTAGTGGTGCTATGTAATAGCCAGGGCTATCCTCAGCTGAGCTGCAGCTGTGGAACGGCTTCTGTTCAGTGCCGCTTTCCGGCAGATGCCTGTTCCAGCTCTGATCAGGTATTAGGCATCGGGCAGCCCGGCAGATCACACTGAAGGCTGTGGGCATGCCTGCAGGTTCAGGCTGTGTCCCATCACTGGGACGCACAGCGCTAGGCGGCAGGCTCACGTCGCCAGTGGATGGCTGTGTATGTAGATACATACCGACAGCATTTACCTGCGGAGCTCCATTTCAGGAAAAAAAATGAACTGGGAAGTTGTTTTCTTTTAATGTTCTCTCCATTTGAAGTTGCGTTGTCACACAGTTTCTGCTGTGAAGCTGTTAGAGCCTGGAGTTAAGCAGGCAGGCTCCCTGGGGTGCTCAGGAAGAGCCACCCGCGGCAGCGCAATGGGAACAGCTCAGTGCCATCAGCAGCTCAGCCCGAATGAGAAGACAGGTTTAAGAAGTGATGTTCATTTGAAGAATTATCCCCTAGAAAGCTGAAATCGTGTTAACTGACAGGCGGGAATCAGCCTGTTTGACAAAAGAGAAGTACCGCTGCCTTTATTAAAGAAAAAAATTAGAATGGATTCATCCTCAGCTGCTTCTGCACATGAAAGGGAAGCTGACAGCTTTGAAGAGGAAGCCATGCTGCCGGGTCTGTGGTTCTGTGGGGTCAGGGTGTTCTCATTTGGCTGTTACAAAAAGTTGGTTGTATGTGAGACGAGTGAAGCCTCCCATGTCAGCACTGCTGTGGGTCTATGCTTAAACCTCGGCTCTGCTCGCGCTGAGGTCCTCTGGTCACCTGTCCGTGGTGGCAGAGCTCCTCACAGCGACAGGAGGGAGCCTGAGCGGAGCTGGATGCAGGGAGAGCAGAGCCATGGAACCGTGGGCAGAGAGCAGATGGGGGGAGGTGAGGTCGAACTGATGGGTGTTGCTGTGAGCTTGGAGTTGGAACACGTTGCCCCGCTCCGATTTGCGTAACGACGATTCATAAGGTGTGATGCAACTGGAGTACATTTTGGTGTCTTCTTGTTTTACAGGAACAGTATGAATTCTGCTACAGAGTGGTACAAGACTTCATCGACATATTTTCCGATTATGCTAACTTTAAATGAAAAACTTCTGCCTTATTTTTTAAGTTGTCTGTATAAATAGTTGTATATGATATTAATTTATTCCACGTCGTTTTGTTTGTTGACTTTGACTGTAAATAGGACCTCGTGTTTGCTCTAAAATTTGCATTTGCTGTACAAAATTATTTCTGAAATATAAATATCTTCTAAAGCAAAGTATAATGTTCATATAGAGTATATAGCTATAAGATGGTAGAGAAGTCTTTATTCTAAATAACAGTAAATTAATTCTGGAAGGTTTATTTCTTTGATTATTTCCTTTTCCACTTACAGATATTTATCAGCAGTGCCATTGCCCGGTTCGTGCATCTTTACATTTACCTTTCATACTAAAATAATGAGCTGTGGTACATCTGTTTAAAGGAAACTCGTTTTGGCTGCAAACCTTTGACACAGAAGTCAATAGCAAATAAAAAGAGATGTTTATTTTGGGCCGTGTTCTGATAACCTGCTGCTGCTTACTTGGAATTGACTTCATGGCCTCACTGAAAGGCCAAGGAACTGTTCCAGGTGTCAGAACACAGCCCTTCATGTGTGATAGTGCACAGTGCAGCTGAAAAATGGTATTGCTTTTAAAGGCTGTTTGTAAGAACCTCCCCACGGATGGCAGCTTTGTTTTGTGTTCTACTGTCAGTAGGATACAAGCATTAGAAATGCAGGTTGGAATTTCTGATTTCATATGACTTTCAAAGTTAACCTGCTTCGTTCTTTCCTAAATACTGCACCAGCTTGAATCAATCTAGGAGTACAGTAATGTCATTTTGTCACTATTGAACAATATTCTGCATATCAGGAGTGTGTATTTTGCATTTGTCTAATTCAAGAAGCATTACAGCCCTGGTTGGCCATGGATATAGAGCTTCACTATATGTGTGCATCATTTCCAGCTACTGTGAGAAAAAGCAGAGGGCAGAACTCTCTCAGATTCAACAAGAATATTACATCTCTGGAAAACAAAAAAAGAACTGCGTAGCGTGAGCAACACGAAGAAAATTCCTTTATGTTCTTGCCTTCCCATATGTATTATCAGCTAAGGAGTGCTTCCTTTATCTAAAAGGGGGGATGTGGTTGTGTATATAGATGTATTTTTAATGAAAGTACTACTGATAATGTGATTGGGGAAATATGTTCTACAAGTCTTTGTTGTATCCCTGGGCAGGATGTGCTTGGGGGTTAGAAAGTCAAAGCTCGCAGGGCATCTGCATGTTGAACAAGTGGAAAGTCTGGATTTCCCCCTCTTTAGAACGCGCATAGGAATTAATGAGCACAAAATAGGTGAATGTGTACTTTGGGTACCTAACTAATATGCCCTAGTCCTGTCTTGTCTGGTTGGCGGGGTTTTATCAATGCAAGCATAAAAGCCTTACTTAAAAGCAACTTACTTAAAGCAACTGAAACGGATCCTTTCACTACTCCTGTGAGCATTTCTCCCAGCTGCTAACACGGAGCATCACGCATTGACGCACCACAAGGAGACAGGAGCACCTTCTGCCTCTCCTCGCTTTCATACTGAATGGGAAAGGTGTGGTTAAGAACCTGTAAGCACACTGCTCTGAGCGCTGCCGTTTCCTGCTGCTTGTCTTCCCACTGATGCACTTCTGTGTTTATTTGCACAGTGAATCATGCAGTTATGCACTTGAAGAGGTGGTTTGAGGACTGAGCATTTGCTGTGACTTGCTGTTGGATGTGCTCAGAACACAAAGTGTTGGCTAGATGAGAAGAATGCAAAGTTTGCATTACTACTGCGTGCTAAAATTTAATCGAATTTCAAGTAGCTACCAAATAAATTTGGTGTGAGACAGTGGGGTTTTCGGTACGGTCATTTGCAGCAGAGAGAATCAGAGAGGTAGAGTGATTGTAGGACCATAGAATGGCCTGGGTTGAAAAGGACCACAATGCTCATCCAGTTCCAACCCCCTGCTATCTGCAGGGTCACCTGCAAACCAGGCTGCCCAGAGCCACATCCAGCCTGGCCTCCAGGCATTCAGTGATGATAGAACATAATGCCAAGAAAGCTGCTCTCCAAACAAATGTATCTTACAGTCCTGTTTGTCCCCAGGAGCGCTGCAAACATTTAGGCTGTGGGTGACAAAAGGGCCTCTGTCCGAGCAAGGAGCAGGATGGAGCTCAGCTGAAACATCAGCTGTTCAGGGAGTGCTCGGGTTGTAGTTGCTAACTGTATTATCTGTGAGGAAACAGGAAAAAAGCCCACAACAATAATGTAGTTCAGAAGTCGTAAATATAGCTATGTAGTGATTTTCACGTTTATTTTTTTAATAATTTGGGAAGCTTGCTTTCCAGTTCTTGCGATGAGTAATGGAGAGGCCGCCTGTTGCAGCAGCCCTTCAGCTGGGAGCTGTGGCTCAACGTGGATAGAGCTGAATTCTGTTTGAAATTTTCCTACGTTGCATGGAATGACTTGGAAACGCCAAATGGTTGATTAGAAGTCGTACATTCTGATCTGTGCGTGGTTTTGGTCACTGTGTGACTTGACTGACTGTTCTCATGTGTTAAGATAGGTTCCAGTTCACCTGAGCATTTAAGCATTTGCCGACATCCTTTCCACAGAACACACAGTACCATTGGCTCTTTGTTCCTGGAGCAATCCCTTAAGTGCTTTGCTGAATTGGGCCTTAATGAAGAATGCTTACTGTAATTACCAGTGTTTTTTAGGGTATTTTTACGTATCAGTTTTTTAAACTTTTAAAACCAGCCTGACCGCCTGTGTTCAATCTTTTGAAATGCTTTCATTTCCCTAGTACCATTTTTAAAGTAAAGCTATTGAAACTTTTCTGTATAACCAAATTGTATTTAATTTGTCAAATCTTTTTAATATATGTATGTATTATACAGTTTCGGCTATTATTATTTCCTTTTATTACATTTATAATTTGATCTCGCTGTGTTTTTAATGCCGGTGAATGTTGCTGAATTATTTGTATATGCAAATTGCAAGATCTAATACATTCTGATGCAAGAACAAAGCTTTGTTTTTATTCTCAAACTGCACTGCTCTCTTTAAATCTTTAAATTTTATTCCTGTCTGTGTGTTCATTTAAGCAAAGTATCCTAAAGGACTGAAAACCCATTATCTACATCAATAACTTCTTGGTACTTACCATCCGTCGCTATTGGAAGCAGTGCTCTGATTTATGTCGTAACCAAAGCGCACGTAAACTCATGACAGCGATTAGAAAGCCAGGCCTTCCCAAACTGTGTTAACAAATGAGAGCTGACGATGCAGAGCTCTGACGTGCCGAGTCCCATTGCATCCTTCCTCTGTGAGCATTGAGGGAATGACTCAAAGCCCGACCCTGCAGTTCTTCAAGAAGGCTTCCAGTGGTACAAACGCTCCTCTGCACTTCCTGGTTTGTTCCGTGTTTTCTTTTTGTTTCCTTGACCTCGTGCTTCTTCATGAAGGTTTTGTGTTTCACAACCTGTGGGGCTGAAGGTTATGCTTTTAGAAACTGAACTTTCAGAAAGAACGGACTTTGGTTGTAAACTGCTCATGAAACATTGATTTCAGCGGGCTGGTTAAACAATACAGACTAAGCAAGATCAAAGACGTATTTGTTCTGTATGGGGCACACGTGTCAAGTGGAAGCTAAGCTTTCCTTAATACACAAATTGTTCAGTGCCTCTGAGAATTTTTCGAGCAATTGAACTTCACTGTGAATGTTCTTCATCTTGCGTATTAAGGGATTATTTTGTAATTTAGGTATTTTAATAAGAGCTTTATTCTAACGATTTTGATGCATTTTCTGTGCCACTTCTCTCAGTCTGTGAGAATTTCTACCAAATTATTAATTGGGCTCAGACTTTGCCAGGGAAGCTCTTTCACAAATAAGCATTCCTTCCTCCCCTGTTTCCACTGCTTTGTGACTGTTCCCTCGTGTTCATGGATGCCACTCAAACTTATTCATTAACATTGAACAACAGATCCAGATTGCTGCTGTGTGCCAGCTGGGTAGACACAAGGAAAAACGAAACTGTAGCACTTCTTAGGAACTCCAGGTGGAATTATTTAGCACATTCTTGCTTCAGGCAGTGAGCAGCAGAGGGCTGTGTCCCTCCTGCTCCTGGTCTCTGCAAGAGAAGGTTATGTTCCTCTCTTCTTGCAAACTGCCTCTGCCTCTGAAGTTGCACACCTTTTGCTTTCAAGTGATCTTGTTTCTGAATTGTATAGGAGGGTTTTCTAGTTTAGATCTCATGGGAAGTGGGAGGCTTGAGTGTAAGCTGCTGTGAGGAAGCAGTAAGGTGGAATGGCTCTGCTCCCTGGTGCAAGTGCTACGGAAGTGGCTCTTCTGCTGGTGGCTATCAGTCTGAACACAGAATCCTGCCCTGTACTCCATAAGCAGGTGTACAAATCAGGAACCTTTACACAAATAGCAGCTGTCTGTAATAAGAGGCATTTCAGAAAACATCCTGTTTGTTAATAAACTTCTGCAGGATTCTCTCCTACGAATTAAAAGTAAATAATTAGGTTCTCGGTATGAATATACACATTTGAAAATCTTAGGTGCAATAGCATCAGTGTAATATGCCATCATGTTATCTACTGCAAAGGGATTTGTCTTAAAATAACTGGCTGTGTGTTGTGCAGTGTGAATAGACTGCAGTGTTTCAGAGTGCATGAGAAAAGTTCCTAAATGGAGGACCGATCCACGATGACAGCTGCAACTCGACTGATGCCAATCACATCTGCTTGAACGCTTTGTGAGAAGCTAGCAGTTTCTCAGCTCTTTTAGTGCTGGTGGGTGTAGAAGCCAGGCACCAGGACTGCTTTTGTTGTCTCCCTTCACCTCCCAGCTGTGCGTTCTGGATTTGCTGCCCACGCTGCAGCTGCCCTGAGGATGCTGTGCTGTATCCAAAGGTAACGGGCTGATCTCACTAACCCTAAGACTGCTGCCTGAGTTTAGTGCCTATATATAATACTATAATACTATATACTATAATATTATGTATATATAATATATATAATATAATACTATATATATAGTGCCTATATATACTGTATATATTCTATATAAAACCCCCAGTGTGGGGAAAGCTTTAACTGGAATTTCTGCTTCTTGAGGCTTTCGGCTGATGGACATTAATGGTACAAATCTGTGAGAAATAAGCTTCGTTCATTCAAATGCTTCCAACCCACCTGTTGAGAACCAGGACAAAACAGCCTTGCCTCGGGACCTTCTGATGAGGAATTACGGTGCTGAGTTCTCTAATTGTGTTCGTGTTGTTGTTGTGCTCTTGGCTGCAGCCTTCAGACCCAGCATGTTTTAATGATCGGGGCTCTTTTATTATTGGATCTTCCACTGATGAGCCTAATCATTAAGAAGGCGGATCTCAGTGAAATAGCTTTCCTCTAATTACCTTTGTACTAGTTGAATTAAGTTAAAACGTCTAAGCAAGTGGCAAGGGCGCTCAGTGACGATTTCACGTGAGCTCCTGTCAGGGAACTGGATTTCTGTCTGTAAGAGAACCTAACAGTAGAGATGACTTTAGGGTTAGGAGTATTCATTTTTAATCTGTTTTACTGCTGCAAGCTGCTTTTGGTCCTGCTCCGCCGCCCGGAGCTGCGCTGTGGGGCTCAGCAGCAGCGCAGTTCCGGAGCTGCCCCTTCTGCCGGAGGCGCTAAGGGACGGAGCGGGGCGGCCCTAAGGCGGGAGGGGGTGTTTGAAATCAAACCGTTCCCGCGCTCCCATTGGGTGCGCCGCGCCGCCACGTGACCTCCCTTCTACCAATCGTGAGAGGCCGCGCGCCTTTTCGAAAGTCGTTTTAGAAGTTTAACCACATTTTTCTTTTCTCCTTCCGCCGAGCCGGCACCCGGTAAAGCTAAAAGAATCCCGCCGCCTCGGGGCGGCTGCCGCAACCGGATGGCTTAGGTGAGTCTCGCCAGCCACGGCGGCTGCCGGCAGGTGAAGGCGGCGAGACGGAAAGCTGCTTTCAGAGCTCTTCGCGCTGCTCTCGTGCCCCTCGATGCACGGCGCAGGGATACGCGTGGCGGTGAGAGGGCCCGACGCGGCGGCGCTGGCGCGCGCGGGAAGATGCAGTGAGCGGCGGTGGCGGCGGTGGTGGCGGAAGCGCCGCGCTCAGCCCAGTCGCTCCCGCCGGCTGCAGCTGAGGGAGAAGAGCCGGAGCGCCGCTTCTGTGAGGCGCAGCTGAGGATCCTTGGGGTAAATCTGTTCAAACCGCTCTTCTAAGTGTCTCCTAACGCGCTTTTCGGGCGGGCCGTGCTTTACGCCATGAGCTCCCGCGCGTGTAACGGCGGGGAGGCGGGCAGCGCCGCGCTGTGACACGGCTGGGAAAGCGACTTTCCTTTCCTAAATACATAGGGCATCGCACACGTGAGTTGTCTTGGCGTTCTCCCACAGGTAAGGATCCTTTCGTGTGAAGATGCCGCTTTTTGGGAAAATTGTTATCATTAAACGGAATGGGACGGACGGCATTTATTTTCCACTCACTGCCAGCTCGTGTTTATTTGGAAGGTGAGCGTGTTTTGAATGTACCAGAATAGCGCTAATAGCATATTTCCTGCTGCTGGAACCTCCTTGATGCTTGCTATCAAAAATGTTTATATGCTTGTGGGTGATATTTGAGGGAGGGACGGTGCTGTGGGTTGGGGCTGAATTCACAGTCACTGCTTTGCACTCTTTCTTCACTAAAACTGCTTTTTCTCCAAGCTTCTGGCCAAGGAAAATGAGGCAAACGAGTTTGGCAAACCTGAGATTGAAAGTAGTGTACACATGACAGGCAAGCAGGGTGATTCTTATCTCTAGAAGTGAAGCACATGCGTTGTGTTCAACCATATTCATCGTGCCCGCACTAATTGCAGTTTTGGTTGGTTCTCTGAGACATGGGTTGCGGAATACGGGAGCTGGTCTAGAATCGACGAATAAAATGTTTTTATTTCTTTGGAACTATTTGGTCAGCACTTCACTGACTGGTTGATATCTTAAATAAGTAAGTACTCTGTCCCAAGTCAGATTCCTTGGTGTCTATGGCAAAATGTCCAGTGTCAATTAAGATCAGTGAGTTTGACGCTATTAACAGAGATACTGAGAGGACAAGGGGGAATGGTTTTAAACGGGGGAGGGTTAGGTTGGATATTAGGAGGAAGTTTTCCAGCCAGAGGGTGGTGAGGCACTGGAACAGGTTGCCCAAGGAGGCTGTGGATGCCCCATCCCTGCAGGCATTCAAGGCCAGGCTGGATGTGGCTCTGGGCAGCCTGGGCTGCTGGTTGGTGACCTGCACACAGCAGGGGGTTGGAATCTCATTGTAGTCCTTTTCAACCCAGCCTATTTTATGATACTAATGGTAATCTCTGTCTTCACGCTTGTGCCAGTTGGGTAACACTGGGCTTGTGCTTAGCCATGCCATGTCCAGACCGTTTTTTTTTTGTTGTTTGTTTTTTTTGGATCTGTGTACTGTTAGTACTTGGGCAGGTTTTAGAAATGACATGTTTCGCTAATAAGATGATCTAGCTTTAGATCGTGTGTTTTTCTCTTTGCCTCATTCCATTTTCTACTCTTTTTAGTTCAGTGTTGTTTTTCTCACTAGTTTGAATCACCAAAGTCAGCACTAAATATAGTATTTACCTGTTCTGTGTGCCTAACAGATGTGGTGTGCTATTGTATGGATTATTAGCTGGAATTTTGGACATCCTAATTCCACAGCAATCCCATTTTTCTGCTTTTTCTCCTTTTAACCTGTAGGAGAACAGAATGTGATATTCGCATCCACTTGCCTCAGGTCTCAAAAGAACACTGTAAAATTGAAATAAATGAGAACAAGGAGGTGGGTCATTTGTGTTAACAACATTTGTGTCATGTTGTCGCATCTCACTGTGGTTCTGACACGTTTGCTTTATTTTTAGGCAATATTGACTAATTTAAGTACAGTAAATCCCACTCAGCTGAATGGTGGTTATTTCCAGCAGCCTGTACCTCTGAAACACGGGGATGTGCTAACTATTATCGATCGTTCTTTCAGGTGAGTGTCAAGGACCCACTGTGAATGTCTTGGTCCTTGAGAGTGCTCTGCAGACCAGCAGTGCTGAGAGCTCTATGGCACAGGCTCTGGCAGCTGGATGAAGATATGGTAGAGAGTGGGACAGATGAAAATGCCACTTGAGAGTCTTCAGATATGGAAGTTAACCTGCTTTGTTTAGTTTTTCTTTACAACAACTTATAGAGCTCTTTTAGAAGGCAGGGTGGCTGAAAGACTTTCTTATTGCTTCCATGTTATGTGAAGCTAAATCAAAAAGCTGGAATCGTCTGGAGAGAGAATTTTGTTATTTTATTTCCAGGATGAGCATTTCTAGGAGTAATGTTAGGAGAGTTTCTATTGTAGTTAAAGCATTTACAAGCGGTGTGTGTATTGCTGAGAGTGGGACCAGTCTTACTAGGGCATTGGTCTTAATAATGACAATCTAGGGTGGATAGTGATAGGACAAGGGGGAATGGTTTTAAACTGAGACAGGGGAGGTTTAGGTTGGATCTGAGGAGGAAGTTTTTCAGCCAGAGGGTGGTGAGGCACTGGCACAGGTTGCCCAAGGAGGCTGTGGATGCCCCATCCCTGCAGGCATTCAAGGCCAGGCTGGATGTGGCTCTGGGCAGCCTGGGCTGCTGGTTGGTGACCTGCACACAGCAGGGGGTTGGAGCTGGATGAGCACTGTGCTCCTTTGCAACTCAGGCCATTCTATGATTCTATTTTACTTGCAAATACTTTCTCCAGATTTGAATATCCTCTCCAATCAACTCCAAAGAAGAGACAATCTAGATCTCCAAAGGATGAAGCACTGCAGGTAATTTTGTGTCAGCAGATTGCTTATTGCAAGTACGTCAGTATTGGTATAGCTGTGGTACTGTGTGCTTGTTGTGGGGTTTTGTGTTTCTTTTTAGAAAGTTAGAAATCATTTTTCAACTGTTGGCAGACTTTCTGTTTGGAAATGCAAGTGAACTCCTTTAGAGAAACGCTTTCTAATATACATATAACTTTAATTTGAGAGTAGCCAGTTTCAGGTAGTACTTAATGGTCTGTGATGTTTGTGATACAGGTATGCTATTAAAAATTAATCCTTAGCATTTTCAAGGAGCTCCCGGGATGCAGGAAATGAGGAGTGTGGCGTTCAGAATCCTCGTGCATTAAATGGGGGAGTTTGCCATAGAGCCTAAGCATGCTTTTTTTCAGAAATCATGTGTTCTGTGTGCTATTTCAGTAATGCAGTGTAGGAGTTTGTAAGTGTCAAAATAAGTCTATTTTTGAATAATTTATTTTCATTTGTATCTTTCTTTTATTTTTTATATTTTTTACTGTTTTATCCCTTTGAGGGGATACTGTTGCTCAGTGAATACTGTGGTTATTGGAAGACTTTTCTTTCTTCTGTTTTTTCCTATTTAAATAAAATTATTTCACCACATCTGGTAATGAAGTGAGCTTAGAATATGCTGTATGTATTTGTCTGCTACAGGTGCACTCAGAGCTGATAATGATAAGACAGCGCTTGAACTCTCACTGTATAAACTACCTGTGTTCCTAACCTGTGCAATACTCAACAGTTAAAATTGAATCCTTTTAAAGCTGTTCAGTAAATAATGCTTGCACATTTATAAATTCAGTATTTTTTTCAATGCATAGTAGAAGGGAAAGTATAAATATGTGTTGCTCTGCTGTAATATTGTACAAATTTACAGGTTCTTCATGTTCAGCAGGTGGCAGAAGCGGAGCTGTTACGCAAACAAACTTCAGGACCTAAAAGTCTTTGTTCTTCAGGTTTGTACCTGTATTACAGGGGGGTGGTTATATTTTTCTTCACCCAGAGGGTGGTGAGGCACTGGCACAGGTTGCCCAAGGAGGCTGTGGATGCCCCATCCCTGCAGGCATTCAAGGCCAGGCTGGATGTGGCTCTGGGCAGCCTGGGCTGCTGGTTGGTGACCTGCACACAGCAGGGGGTTGGAACTGGATGAGCATTGTGCTCCTTTGCAACTCAGGCCATTCTATGTTTCTTCCAACCTAATTTTACTCTATGAGCATCAGCAGGAAAAGCAACGCTGAAAAAAAAATGTTATTAAAGACTTTAGTCTTCAAGACTGAGTACAGTGCACTCTTCTGCACCTGTGTACTGTTTCATTGTACTTTGTGATTTACCAAAAACAAGGTCCCATCAAGAGAAATACCGTAGTTTCATCCTGACAAACAGGCAGGACAGTTAAGCTGGAACTAGCAGAATATGTTTGTATTGCTTTAAGTAATTTTTTGCAGATTTGATTTATAAAGATTATACCATTTTTGAAACTGCAGTGCAAGATAACAGTTGAAACAGATGTGTGAAACTACTGATTGCTGCATTTTACTTTCCAGTGACAGCTCTAATATCACAAAGTCACTTTTGTGATTAAAAGATGTTCACAGATTGCTTTTGAGCAAATCTTGTTGCAAACAAATTTTGTCAGGTATTCTTTCCTAAAAATAATTTGTAAAAGCTATAATTCTAGAGAGACAGAGTTAGCTTTGCTGATTGCAATCATAGTTCACAGTGCCTATTTTATGTAGATGTAGTACAAAGCAACTTTATTCTAGAGGTGCTGATTTGGAGTAACCATAGCCCTTAAACAGGTTAGGTGCCAGAACCTTCCATCCTCCCTGTGGCCAGTAAAGACACTTTCATGAGAAGATAGAAAGTTCCATAGAATCTAGAATGTCCCAAGTCTAAAGGAATCCACTGTGGAAAGCATGCTACTTCATGCTTCCAGCACGCACACAAACTGCTTGCTGTGTCTCATCGGGGAACTTCTAGCTCTCTATTACCTTGCTTTACCCCAGAGGAACGTTGTTGTAACGTCCAGCTGAACGTACAGCTGAAGTGGTGCAGCACCTTTGTAAGCACGAGACAGGATAGTTAGTGAATAGTAGTAAGCCAGTCAAAGTGTTTTTATGTTGCACTTAGTGATTTATCGTGTGGCAGCCATGAAACGTGTATGAACTGTTGAAAATAAGAGAAAATATAGATTGCCTTATCTGTATATGGAATGAAGTCCAGATTACAGCTGAAAATTTGTTAACATTTTGACACTGATTTTTATTATCAGAGAATTGCTATTGTTAACAGAGCTTTATTTACAATACTATGTCCTGGACCCTGGTTGATACTCTTGGTGGACGAAAGGAAGGGATTATCATCATCTCTAAGGAACTTTCAGTTGTGTTTCTGCACCTTCTGTGTAACTCCCTGTCGTGTTTTGCTTAAACTGTAGATAATGCTGACTGCAAAGAACAAAACACCGATGAAAATAAACAAAGTACAGAGGAAAACCGTTCAAAAGCCATACCAGCTAAGCTACAAGCACTCAATTCTTGCAAAATACAAGAGCCTGCTATAAAGGAAAATGAAATGTCTCCTTTTAGTAAACTCTATGAAAAGCTGAAACATGAGGTTAAAGGGAGAAGACTTCTACAAGAAGGAAACTTACTTCAAAAAACTGGAGAAGAAGATGGGAAGAGTGTTCTGCTAGAGCCAAATGCTCAAATTTCACCAAGTTGTGTTTATGAATTGGGATGCACAACTAAAGGAAAAAGAATAGATGTAAATGAAAATACTGAAGAATGTAAAATTAATCAAGATGTAATTAATTCAGAGTTGAGTCAGAGCTCAACTGTAGGAAATGCTACCAGGAAGAGTCTTACAAAAACTCCTCAAAATTCTGTTTCAAAGGAGATGACAGAAGATAATGGCAAGGGAAGTCATCTGCAAGATTGTAAGGAGTTAAGTGCATCTGGGAAATCGAGAGGTCCTGAAGTTACACCCAAGCCCCGTAAGGAGAGCAGTGGGAATGCAGCACGTTCACTGAAACCGTGCTTGAGTTATGCAGACAAAATCAACAACTCTGCAGTAATATTAGAGAAACTGACACAAGCAGCTAATGTGACAAATGTTTCAGAAGGCGTTAAATGCGTTCTGTCTACACCAAGGCCCAGAAGGAAGAGCCTTCGGTCTGGCTTCATGTCACCTGCCAAAGAAGTGTGTGGTAAAGAATCTGTAAGTATTGGGACTCCAGCAACTCGAGGAGATGTGTTGGTCAAACATGAGTCTTTTTCATCAATTTCAGCTGATACTCGAGGGGAAGTTGCAGTGTGCAGAGATGATAGCCTCCGACAACTGCCTTTGGCAGAAAATAAATGCTTAAAACAGAGACGAAATAGTAAACAACAAACACCAGGAAAATCAGTGAAAGAAGAGACGCTGGCAGAAATTTGTGATCAGACAAATGTTAACTTGAAAAAGAGAGATTCTGGGTCTCCTGCAGCATCTAAGAGTCCCAGAAGAAAAAGCAGGCAAAGTAATGAGTTAACAAACAAAAGCGTCCATTCAGAAACATCAACTTCAGAAGAGTTCACATCAGAGCTGGCATCTGCTAGTCAGAAATCTGGCTCTGGAAGAAAAAGGGGAAGGACGAGGACCTCTGGACAATTAACTGAAAAAGCATTGGAGGCGAATACAGTTCAAGAACATCATGATGAGACTGCAGACAGAAAAGACAGTGAAGCTAACCAAGAGCTGGCCAATGAGGGATGTCAAAAGAAATTGGATTTAGCAGATGTCCGTATTCTAAGACCTCATAGATTATCATCCAAAAGGTCTTCTGGAAGTGCTACTGTACCAAAAGAGAATGAGACTCCTTCAGAAAGAAATACTTCTGGCCTGTCAACTGAGGAGCAACCAGGTAAATAGGTTTAATCTCATGCCTTGTTAGAACTGAATTGGGGAAATTCTACTGGTGTTAGAATTTCTTTGCTTAAGTAGAATACAGAATTAATTCTAAGGTGTTTATCATGTAGTTGACTTTAAAATTACACAGTGGGTAATTCAATTGGGTAAAATTTTGTATCTAAATTAGTTACCATCTGGTAAGTTTCCAAATTCAAAATGCACATACAAACACTGTTTTCTATGTTGTTTAACAGGGTCACTTCCTTGTTTCTTGGTTATTTTCTTTTATTGCTATTTATTATAGATAAAAGGAAATCTCAGAAGAGGACAAGTGGTGATTTGTTACCTCAGCCTTTAGGAAAAAGAAAAAGAGTGTCTTTTGGTGGTCATCTGAGTCCAGAACTCTTTGATAAAAGCTTGCCTCCCAACTCACCCATTAAAAAAGGTGCCATTCCCGCAAGGCTGAGCTTACCATTTGGAAACTCACCACGGGCAGTCCTGAAAAAGGGCCAGGGACTGAAGCACTTTGCAATGCAGGTAAACGTCAAATGCTAAAGCTAATCAAGTTGCTAAGCTAATTAACGTGGATGGAATTTAGAAATTCAAAGGCTTCTAAAAGTGAATTCAAAATGAAGAATATGTCTTGTTTAGGTGTGTGTTTGGAAGTGGACACAGTAATTGCAGTTTAAGATGGCACTTGTAAATAGCAAGTTTTAATCGGCGAACTTCCTCCTTAAGAGGAAGGGGTGCAGTCTACCTTTGTCTACCTGTCTTTGTCCTCTGGATGTGTGCTTTTTACCTCCTGTGCTTTTGCTTGTTCTCATAGTATGTAGGAGTCTATTTGTGTGTGTTTGTGATTGCCAGCACCAGTTTGCCATAACAAACTGAAAATAGCCACAGTCTAGAGCAGAAGTTTGGCAGAATGTGCAAACTACTGTTACGTGGCTTCGCCATAAATTGGAAAACGTTTTGCTGCTGTTTTAAGCTGTTAAAAATCAGTAGTGTACTTTATTTGGGTAAACCTGTTTTGAGTTGAATAATGAAGTTGCTTAATTTGTTCAGTTGAATGGGACTTCTGAAATTTAAACACTGTTACGTGTTTTCTTTTTAGAGAGTAATGTCTAAGGATTTTCAAATGATCTCATGATATTTTGTAGGACTGTATTTACTTTTCAGATAAGCAGAGCTCATTTGTAGTTGAGCTTTGTGCAGTAACTTGTCTTTCACTTCTATTATTTTCTATCAGGAACTTAGTGTACATTTGCAGAAAGAAAAAATGTCACCGAGAAGTGTGTCGGCACAGAAGTCCCCACCTGGCTCATCCTCTGCTTCTGGAAAAGCAACACCAACATTTACTTTAAGCTCTCCACCTTACACAAAAGGACGTTTCTCTGTTTCTCAAATAACGACTCCATCCCCCACTGCAGAAGAGCAGAATGCAGGTGTGAAAGATATGAGTACAAAGGAGGAAAACGCTGGCCAAGTGCAAACACCTAAATCTGCTCATGTTAAAGAAGATGGGAAACCCTTTTTGATGACTACACCTAACAAATTAACCAGAAGATCACAACATGCTTTGAAGAAGACTCCCATGAAGAGGAGAAGTGGGGCTGTGGCAGTACTCAGTGCGAAAAGAAGAAGTGGTGCTTCTAGTGCCAATTTACTAGGTTTGTTTCTGCAGTTAATTTTTAATATGAATTTAAATACTGCAAAAAATGGTGGCAGTATTGAATTAGACCTGTTGTTAATTGATTACACCCGTGTCATCAATGATTGTCACATATTCTGATTTTGGATTTTCTGAAACATCTGAAAATTGCAAAATTTTACATTCTCTTACATATAAAAATAAATTACTAAAGCTTTTTAAATGTAAATCTTAATACTCCAAAGTTTATAAATGGTAGAATTAAGGTTTTGTTTGATAGGTTAACTGTAATGAGCCGTCAGGTCCTTCAGATTTGAATGTTGGTTGAAATAGTTTTGGTGCCCTTGGAAGAACTGAGACTTGCTCTTGAAAATGTAATGTTTGTGAAGATACTTTAAGACAGGATGTCATTTTAAATTAAGGAAATAGGTCCAGATGACTCTTTCAAGGTGATATTTAAAGTTTCCCCCCAACATTCATTTGGTAGTTTTTATAATTCTCTTCTAAATCCGTTTTTCTGTAGCATCATTTTTAGAGTGTGAGCTATACATTCAGTATGCATTCAGTATCCCAGTGATTGTTGCACTATATAGAGATACAATCACAGGCCTTCCTCAGTAATGCTGCTGAAAGCAAAATGTGGTTTTTTTAGTTGCTTTGTCTGTTTCATTCACTTATCAGCAAGAGTTCTTCACAAATTTTTGACACTTTTTCACTCCATTTCTAGTATGTAAGTGGTTTTTAGCATCTGTGCATCAATTTCTTCTGTAAAATGAAAATAACGCCATTATCTTCAATTATTTTTTTTATTTTTGGATGTCTAATTGGGAGAACTTTGTCTTCCCAGTTCTTTTTTTAGATAATTCCCTGTATGGTTGGCTTTCGTCTTTATATTCTGCACATCTAGTAATGACAGCTTTTGATTTTTGTTTTGCCAACTTTCCCTAACTTTCACAGTAACTGACAAGAAAATAATATCTTCAGAATATCTTGAGAACTCACATTCCCATTTTTTATCTTTACTTATAAGTCTTCTTGTTGCCATTTCTGCAGTAAATGAGGCAGGTGCCCTGCCAGCTGACAGCTTTATTACACAGCTGTGATTAATTTCCTGATTACTGTGTACAGAATGATAGCTACACCATGGCAATTTTCAGAGACATGTGATGAAGGTAGTATAAGAAAGTTACAGAATTTCTACATGTACCTAAATGCTCTAAGCAGTATAAATACATAATTTCATGATGACCAAGTTTCTTGGTTAGGTGATGAAGGAAAAATCAATACGTTTCTCTTAAAAATCATTTCTCTGACTTAAAACCTCATTCTGCCAAAGAAGAGTTCCGCTATAATAATGAGCAGGGCTGAGAATCTGATGGCAAATTTCTATTGGGGAAAGTATTTCCTTGATGAAAAGTATGAAGACAGAATCGGGTCAGCCTTCAGTTCCAGGTTCTGTAGTGTATGACATTGTGTAAGTCTTTCTGTTCTTTGGTCATGGAAACAAAACTATCCTGGATGCTTGTTAAGCTTCAGCTTGAAATAGCATCTTCATTTGGAAGTGTCTTGACGCAGCACTTGAGTATAGGTGCCATCAGATGATACAACTTCTGATTTCTGATGTTTGACTGCCGCAAATCCCTTGGAATCGTGAAGAAATAGTTAAGAACTCCTATTTACATGGCTGAGAATTTAGGTTGTTATTCCTGTTTTGTTTTCTAGTTGCAAAAACTTGGGCAGAAGTGGTTAAATTAGGTGTTGCAAGACCACAGGCAAAGGCTGTTAAAAAATGTGTTCAGAAAGGAAGACCAGCAAGGAAAATCACACGCTCACCAAAGGTATATTCTTATACTACTATTTAAAGGGTGTGGGTTTGCTGAGCTATGAAAGGCTTGTAGGTGTTTTGCTACAAAAGCTGGAAGCTTGTAAGTTTTTAGGAAGATGTTAAATGGTATTGGTGTCTTTTTCATGGTTTGTAAGAATATTGTGACTTGTAAGAAGAAGTCAAGAATCATGTCTAGTTATTCTTTCTGGTGAGCTCCATTAGGTGCTAGCAGTAGTTAAGGACTAGGTAAGCGTCTGGATTCTGTGCTATGTTGAGCATGTGAAATAAGTAACGAGTTTCATTAACTGAAAATGAACTTAGGGTAATCAAAGCGTCGTAAGAGTATGTCTAAATGACCAAATACATTGGGTAGATGGATTAAGTATTTGCCCTTGGTCTGCAGTCAAACTGTACTGCCATTTGGACGAGTGTCTATTTTAGTTTAAACACTTCTTGTTGATGACTGGACTTGATGACCTTGAATAGATCAACTAGATAGTTGATTCTGTGAAGATGAAAAGGAGTAAGACTGAAGCACTCTCAGGGTAATCTCTGAGCATTCCTTAAGATAAGAGTACTCATCACGTGGCTCGTTGAGCACAGTCCCTCATATTCTAACAGAAGATACAAGCTGTATTTCACAGAGATCTAACCCTTTAGTTTAGCTGCAATTTAACCGCTCCTGTATGCTGAACAAACAGCATTTATTAACTAAACAAGACCAACAAATATGTGGCAGTCTTGCATGATTCTCATTTGGTTTTAAATATACAATATTTACTAATGGTTTTGGTGTTGTTTTTTTGTTTTCTTGCTGTAGACACCAGAAAGAAAAATAAAAGGTCATTTTAGTACAGGTCATGCAGAGTCTCCTGCTACAATAGTTGTGGGTAGAGCTTATTCCACCACAGTTCAAACAGCTGGGAAGGTCCCTAAAGTGGTAAAAAATCCGATCTTGAAACAGAACATGAGTATGGATGAAAACTTCACAGGTAAGCTGTGAAATCTTAAAATCTGTTACTGGTTCTGTCAACTGTGTGGGGTTTTCTGATACTGATTTGGTTTGATTTGATGTGTGTGTTTTGTTTTTAGTGTATGCTTTTTGTTTTGTTTTGTTTTAAATGTGTTTTATAGGACTGACCGAGATGTTTCAAACACCAGATAATAAGGGTGGAAAAACCTTAGCTTTGACCACTGCTCATGATTTTACACCAACATTCACTACAATGGAGATTTCTGATCTGCAAACTCCTGAAGAATCTGGTATGTTGTTTGGAAAGGAAGACTTATGTGTACGTGTAAGGTAATAGTGTCTACAATTATTTGAGACAGCGAACAGTCTTGAGCTAGACAGACTTGGTGTAGAGACAAGATATTTTGCAACTAGATTTTAATATCTATAATGTATTAAAAAAACGTTTTGTAGCTTCAGTAATTTCTTGTAGGCTTTAATTTTTTTAGTATTTGGATTTAGTGTCACATTTCTATATGATAAAGTGTAGCTTCAGGCAAATCTTTTGTTGAAGCATGGCAGTTCTTTAGTTGGTTATTTGTGGACTTGACTTTGTCCAATGGCAACATCTTACAACAGGAAGTAGGTGTATTTTTTTAATTGTATACCAGTCATTGTGTCCTTGTATATCTTAGGATTCGTCACAGTTCTGTTCAATTCTGTTTTTTTAAGAATTTAGTAAAGATGAGCATCTAGCAAAAGAAAAAAATAAGAATAAATAATCCAATGTTTATAGAAGAGGCATTAATAAAATCATTTTTTATATCAGATTGATAAATCTTGGTTTCCTATGTAACCTCTACTCGTTGTTTTAGATTTATGCTGTGCCTTATAGCAGCTGATTATCTTAATGCTAATTACCAAATTGATTGCTGAAGCACATTGTTGGATTTTAGCTTATTAGAATGCTTGGGCTTACTGAGTCTGTTTTTTGCTTAGCTATACAGCAGTTAGTGTGGTTAGATTTACTGTTTTTTATTGGTTGGTTCTTGTTTCTTCCAAATTGTATAAACCTACCTTTTGTTTCAGGAGAGATGGTGGTGTCGCCATTAAATGCTTCAGATGTTTCAGAACAGAAACAGGATATTCAAGACATCTCTTACTTTCTGAGAGGGAGAGAGTCTCTAAAGTCTGTGTTTGATGCAGTATCCACCGAAACTCCTGAAAAGAGAAAAAGTATGCTGAAAGAAGATACTGGCATGGATAGTGTGTCAGTAAATCCAGAGAAACAAGCATCTCAAATGAGGTCACCAAATAAAAGGAAAACTCCAAGTCAGAAGTTGGAGTCAGTTGAAGTTGTATCAAGCATCAAGCAGCCTCTAAAGACCCCAAAACAGAAGTTAGAGCCTGTAGAGTCCTTGTCAGGTGTCAAGCAGCTCATGAGGACCCCGAAGCAGAAGTTAGAGCCTGTAGAGGCCTTGTCAGGCATTAAGCAGCTCATGAAGACACCAAAACAGAAGTCAGAACCAACAGAGGTCCTGTCAGCCATCAAGCAGCTCATGAGGACCCCGAAGCAGAAGTTAGAGCCTGTAGAGTCCTTGTCAGGCATTAAGCAGCTCATGAAGACACCAAAACAGAAGTCAGAACCAACAGAGGTCCTGTCAGCCATCAAGCAGCTCTTGAGGACCCCGAAGCAGAAGTTGGAGCCAGCAGAGGTACTGTCGGGCATCAAGCAGCTCATGAAGACACCAAAGCAGAAGTCAGAACCAGCAGATGTCCTGTCAGACATCAAGAAACTTTTGAGAACCCCAAAGCAAAAGTCAGAACCAGCAGAGGTTCTATCAGGCATCAAGCAGCTTTTGAGGACGCCGAAGCAGAAGTCGGAACCAGCAGAGGCCCTGTCAGGCATCAAGCAGCTCATGAAGACCCCAAAGCAGAAGTTAGAGCCTGTGGAGTCCTTGTCGGGCATCAAGCAGCTCGTGAAGACCCCAGAAGAAAAGCTGAAGCCAGCAGAGGTCCTATTAGGCCCACAGCAAAAGTCAAAACCTATTACAGATGAAAACGCCTCTGAAAAATTGCTGGAGACTCCAATACAAAAAAAAGAAGTATTAAAAGATGTGTCAAGAGTTAATTTAATTAAGAAAACTCCAAAATTGAAATCCCAACCGGTAGAAGACATGATTGGAATCAGCCGTATTTTCAAGACACCAAAGGAAAAAGTTAAACCCATAGAAGATGTATTTGGTATTAGTAGATTAATGAAGACTCCCAGAGAGAAATCTCACCCAGTTGATGATTTTGTGGGTCTGAGTAGGCTGATGGCAGAACCCAGACAGAAAAATACTGAGTTTGAAGTGGATTACATTGGAGTGAAGGAAATATTTGATACACCAGAGAAAACAAAGGTAAAGCTTATTTATTTATTTATTTATTATTTAGTTTCTATTTTGGAAGGAATTTATTTAGACTTGAAGTCTGTGGCTGAAACGAACCCCTGGGCCATCTAATACTACCTCATGTTTTATTGCATCATATTTTGATTAAAATATCTCATGCATGCGACCTCTAGATGAAAAACACCATGGTAATTTGGGAAGAGTAAAGATTGCAACCTGTGTTTTCCTTGGAAGCTTTTTGCAAGTCAGTGACCCCCCTTTGACAAGATGTAGCTTAGTACAAATATGAAGGAACAATTTTTTTTTCCTTTTTATAGCACCCTTACATTACTTATGTAGTATAGTCAAATTCTTACTATGCCTTCCTTTTCATAAGTAAAGTTTGTATGCTTCTTTGTACAGCTTCTTCATAGCCTCTAGATTAAATATTAAAGATCTCTTTTCTTTAAACGTGAAAAAGTATTAAGCTTTTGCCAAAATACTGTGAAACCTCTTGGTCATTTATTATATAGCTCATTGTTCCTATAAGTCTTTCATTCATTGCTTGCTGAATGGACACTATAGAGAGAGAACTATAATGCCATACATTTGTTTGTATTTGTGTGTATTTTGCTTGAAGGAGCTCTGTCCATGTGGTTACTGAAGTAACGTTGAGTTACCGTTCTGATTTTACACAGCTTCATTACTCTTGTTTGTGCATTTTACTAGCATTGATTTTTGTGTAAGCTCCTGAATCCATAGCTAAAACACTGAGTATCACTGGGCTGAGTGCTTGTCTGTGCTGAACTGCAGTAAAACGCTACAGAACATCAAATGACTCAGCATCAGTATCCTTTCTTTTGGGATTTTATTTTGACACTTTTCAGCCAATTTAGTGAATGCACTTTTTAAAAAAACTGTACAGTGTTGTCTTTCACTTTAAAAACTGCTACATTAGCTCAGATGACAAATATGAAATTCAGTTTGTGTGCTAATATTATATATGGATACAGTCACTATAGTAAATTAACTTTGTTTTATGAGAAGAATACTCAACAAGACCTTTTTTTTCCCAACTATTTTAATTTTATATTGGCTAGCTTCACTATTTCCAATCCCATCAGACATGAATTATTGATTATTGTTTATTTCCCTAGGTCAAGTCAGTAAGTGTTACAGATCCTAAGCAAGAAGATACTGTACATCCTTCTACTAATTGCAGTCCTGAACATGGTGCGTATAAATACTTTTATTTTAATAATGGTTGTAATCAATATACTTGCTATTAGGAAGTTATTAGGAAGCACGTGTTTTAAAAACTCAAAATTATATAGTGTACAAAGAGCAAGTAGCTCGTGAAATGTGTGCAGTAATTCCTGGTGCTGAATTTCACTGGAGCTGAAATTCTATTGGGTGGGGAGGTAATGGTGTATAACATTCTGATGTAGTAATGGTGTCATCTCCAAACATACCAGTGTATAAAAAACACTAATGAAAAGGTCACCATTTAAAATCACCTTTCTTAGCAAAGACTTTCAATAACTCATCTGAAGGCTATCAGTATCAAATAAAATAACTTGGTGCAGCAAGCTGGCTAGAATCTGTTAAAATTATCACCATAGTTTCCTATTTTTTAATTAAGAATATGAAATATACAAGACCACTCTGCTAGAAAAGCTCACAAATGCTTTTATCAGGCATAGTACTGATTAACTTTTGCTTGTGCTCTTTTCTATGTGAAAACTTTGTATGGGTTGAAAAACCCGTTTTAGAAGGCAAACAAAATACTTCAGAAGGTAAAGATTCTCAACGGAGGAAGTCAACTAGTGAAGACCAGTCTACCCAGAGACCAACCAGGGGCAGATTGAGGAAGACTGTACATCTTGCTTCAGTAAAGCAGACTGAAAAGGATTTAAATTTACAAGAATTGCAAGGACTGGAGAAAAAGAGCTTCCAAGAAGAGACGGGAGAGGTCAGAACTTCAACTTCAGTAGCTAAAAGTCTAGGAAGAGGAAGGAGAACAAATGCTTGTGTGGTAGAAGAAAACATTTCAAAACATAATGATGAGAAAAAAGTTGAAGCTGTTTCAACTTTGGGAATGCGTGTTGCTACTCAAAGACCCAGAAGAGGTAAAAGGAAAGAAGCAGAGGAGTTAAAACTTCCGGATGAGAGCCTTGAGTCTTGCGGCAAAGATTCTTCGGTGTTACAAAAAGAACCTGCAACTGTGAAACTGGCTTTGCAGGATTTTATCATCAGTGACGTATCAATAAAAGATGATGTTCGAAGCATGAAGGCAGAAAGTTCATCTAGGAACAGTCAAAATGAAAATTGTCAACTGCAGACAGATTTTAAAAACTCTGAAAACACACCTCATGAAGCCAGTCCAGGAGACAGTGAAGAAATGCTTCTACTGCCTAGGAAGAGGGCTAGAGAAGTGAGAAAAGTAGAAAATGCAGAAGAACCAATCGCCCCTAAAAGAGGAAGGAGAGCCAAGAATGACCAAGTTAAGCAAGCTTCTTCAGAGGAGCTTCGTGCAACAGCAAGGAGGCTTCGTAAACAACCATCTGCAAAGGTAATACAAGAGGATGAGCGGGCTTTTGAGACTGCTCCAGCAGAACTGTCTGAGAACAGAGCCACAGTTGAAATGAAGATAACACAAAAAAGAGTTAACTCTTCAAGAAATGCTAGAAAACACTTGACAGAAGTAAAATCTAACATTTGTGGGATGGCACCTGAAAATACGCAGAACGTTCAGAAAATCAAGGAAACTTTGGATGAAACTATTACTGAAACACGGTCATCCACCAAAAATGAGAGGGAAGTGTCTCTGGGAGATAAAGCTGAAAATACTCAGGCAAATACAACAGAAGCATCTTGGAGATTAAAATTGCAGTCACCTCCTGGAGAAACAAACAAAATGCCAACTACTGTTCTAGTCTTGGAATCAAACAGCACAGTGCAAGAAACAAACAGAACTAGGAGCAGGAGAGGCAAGAAGGCCTCCTCAGAGCAAAAGACTGATGAATCTGCTAAAAATGTAGACAGCTCAGAGCTAATAACACCCAAATTGAAATCAGAAACAGAAATGGAGGAATCTGCTCCCAAAGAGCCTTCAGGCTGTGTTGATGAAAAGAAGATTGACAAAATAGAAGACCAGAACTACACATCTGTCACAACAGTTACTGCTGTAAACAGTAACAGTGGTGCTCATAGCCATCAAGAGCAGACAAAAAATGAACAGGCACTAAAATCAAAGCAAACTGAAATTCTGCAAGAGAATCAAACACGAAACAATGGCTCTATGAGGAGAAGAGGTAGAATTAGAAAAGTTAATTCTGAACTTGAACAAACCAGTTCCAAAGCACTTGGGCAAAAAAGGAATTCACCTGGGGACGAGGAAGGGATGACTTGCAAACAGCAAGAGACTTCAGAAAATCCTTCTTCTCAAGTAAGGAGGAGCAGAAGAAAGCAAGTTAATTCCATTCCACAAGTGACTTGTTCTACCTTTTCAAAAGAGCAGGCCTTAATTGAAGATCATGGTAAAGATGAGACTTCTGTAAAAGACCACGATCCAGCTTTGGAAACTACTCCCTCTTCAACAGAAGACAATCCACCGAGACGGGGAAGAAGACGAAAGGTTGCTGTAGCATCACAAGTGACAAGTTTTCTTTCTATCAGAAAGAAACGTGGCTTGCAAGAAGGTGACGATAAAAAGACGACTGTGAAAGAAGATCAAAATCCAGCTTTGGGAAATGAAACTTTGCAGGCAGAGACAAATGCATCAGCAAGGGACAAAAGAAAAAAGATGGATCTAGCAGCAGAGGCAAAAAGTTCATCTTCTCTCCAGGGGAAGTGTGGCTTGTCACAAAATGGTGATAAAGAGGCGAATACTAATGGAGAAAAAAATAAGCCTTTGGAATCAGTGTCCCTCACAAAAGTGAACCCATTAGGAAGGGGCAGAAGGAAAGAAGCTCTGGTGTCACACACAACTAATTCAATTTCTCTTAGAGGAAAACCAGCTAGCAGTGTTAGAGAAGAGGCTCCTAAAGAGGATAATGTTCCTTTAGAAACTGTTGCTTCATCTCTGAAAGAAAATCAGCTGAGAAGAGGAAGGAGGAATCAAGTGACCTTCTTGTCAGAAGCCACAAGTTCTGCTCAGAGAACACACAGCTTATCAAAGGAAAGTGGTAGAAAGAGTAATCATAGGGAAGCTAAAAACCTGATTTCTGAAAAATCTGCTTCCCAAGAAAAAATGGATCTTTCAAAAGGCAACACGAGGACAAAAAATAGCACTTCACAGCCTGTTAACTCTAGGTCTCTTCAGGGCTTGCCAGAAGATGGTAAGAATGAATCCCCAGAGAAACAGCAGAGTATGCTTCTGGAAATAACTCCACCTTCAGAAGAAAATCCATCAAGATTGGGCAGAAAAAAACCAGTTTCTTTCAAATCTGAGTATACTAGTTCCAGTTTTCTCAGGGAAAAACGTACCTTCTGCAGCAACGGAAGGCAAAAGGGAAATCTTAATGAAGATGAAGTTACATCTGTGGAAAATAACTCATCCCAGGAAAACCGTAGGCAGCTGAGAAATAAGAGGGAGAAGGTAGAATTCAAATCAAAGGCAGCTCCTTCTACTTCTCTCCATGATAAGGGCAACTTGCCAGAAAATGATAACTCTTCAGGAACTCAAAATAAGTGTTTGGCATCTACTGGCTTTGAGAAAAACAGGCAGCCTAGGAAAGAGGTTAGCCCTGCTCCACAGCCAGCTTCCACTTCTCGCAGAAGAAAATGTCAATTGCCAGCACCCAATGTCTTAGCACCCAAAAAGTTAAAATCAGGTGAGGCAACAATTTACTTTCTATTTTCTGTGTGTAGCTAAGTTGGGTATCGATAGAACAATGTGTGTAAAGATCTAATATTACTGCAGACTGCCATAGGCTAATGTAGGTAAAGAGTGGTTCTTTAATACAGCAAGAATTCTTAAGTGAAGAGCAGCTATGTTATCCTATTCGAAAAAGATGCTTTTCCTAAGTGGGATGAATTGATTTTTATGGACGTGATGCTTGTATTTCTCTACTGGGATATTCAAATGCCCTCGTGCATGTTCTCTCTCAATCTGCAACTTTCAATTTAGAGTAATACAGCAATTAACTGGCCTGTAGGAGTAGCAGGTAATGGCATAACATGAGCATTGCATCTTTAAGACCCATCGTTCATGCTTGTTTTCTCCTAAATATCATCTGAATTCCTGCTCCTGCATCTGTAGCTTCTGGATAACCTTTATGTAACGTGCTTTTCAATGCAGCCATCTTTCTCAGTTTATAAATTTTTGCTTCTTTTTAGCTATTTGTTAGTTTCCACTTCCTAACTCTGCTATATGTACATCCCAAATGAGTCACCTGCACTGGTGCTTTCCTACCTGCCTGGATAGTTTCTTTTCTGGGGAGGTTGTCTTTTCCCTTGTGGGTTTAATGATGGTTTCCTTGTATGGTGTTTGGCTTGATGCTCATCTCTTAGAGCAGCTTTGTTGTTCTCTGCTATCTGGGTTCTTACATAGAGATCCAGTCTTTTGTTTACAGTTAAAAGCCCGACTTAGCTGTAGGTGTGCCATGCAACTCTTCCTATCAATTCATTTTTGCTGGATGTTTCTCCAGCATTGTATTTTAGTTTTGCGTATCGGTGGAATGAATTTTAGCTGAAATGGTAGCTAATTGGTTTTGGTGCTCTCATTAATGCTAACCTACTTTCCGGAATAGCTGTAAGTCCATGGGGATCTATCTTGAAGGATATTGGATGTGCAGAAGTGTGGGTTTTGTAGCTGGTTTGTTGAATTCATGGATGTAATCTTTGGAATGTGGTCACTGGGGATTTCTTGAAAAACAGTGTGACTGAAGACTGACTTTGTATGAAATGTTTCATTTATAATATAAATTTCCAATTGACATTTCTGTCTACAAATAGATAATGATGAAAACAGATCACCCAAAAGAGGAAGAAGAAACAAAGCCAAAGAAGAGCTTGACGGAACGGGTGTAAAAGCAACTCGGAATCCTGGAGGAACAGACAGGAGAACAAGATCAAGCACAAGAACCAGTGCAAGAACCAGAAAATAGCCTTCACAGTTTCAGAAGCAATTTTAAAAACAATTCAGTAATTGAACAAGTTTTTAACATGAATTGAATTGCACTCGGGTGTTAAATTCAGGTTTTGTAAAGCAATCATGATGTTACAGAAGTGCTTCACTTGATGTGTTTACAGATACAGCATAGATACCTGTTCTTAGTAGATCTGTCTGTATAGTGGTTCTTAAACCATGGGGTGCTTGTGCAGAATGGCAAATATAAAAATAAATCCTTTTTAATAGTATTTATCCCCTTCTTCTTTTGATCAGTACAGCAGTCAGGAAGCCGTGCTGCTTTACAATCCATTTAATTGTAAGCTATTTTCTGCGTAGTTTCATGTGCTTAAGTCTTATTTTTCATTAAAGTTTTGTAAATATTCTTTTTTTTTAAAAAAAAAAAAAACCTATAGATTTATTAGCAAAATTGCTATGTTGAAATGTTTTTTAAAAGAAGTGCATTTTACTGGGAAAATTTGTAATTCATTAAATTTGTAAAAAAAAAAAAATTGAGTCTCCTGTGTTTTGTATTCTTAGAAATAAGTAAGAATGTGCATTTATTTCTATTACCATATTACATGCAGAAAGAAAATCCAGCTTCAGCAGCTAAGTGCATTTTTGAGAGCAGAGTTGAGAACCTACTTCTTCATGTAGTTTTCGAGGAGTTACAGGCATTTCTATGGACAAATGGAAAGGGAAAGGCAAATGGATTCCGTGTTCTGACATTTGTTGGCAGTTTGAGGATGAAAGCAACCCTTAGGGTGAGTTCTTGTTTGTGAGATCTGTTGTCTATTGCGTTTATCACTGTAGGACTGAGGTGTGTTTCCTGCAGTTTCAGTTTTAGCCTCCCAGATGTGAGGAACCTCTCACAAAATGTGTCACTGGATTTTTGCTTTAGCATTTGTGATCATCCAGAATTCCAGCTCATATGCAGCCTTGTGTTGTCCCAGCAACAACTGAAGCATCAGATCAGGGTGATTGGTCTTGGAGTTCAGATCCATACCAATTTTACTGTATTTGTGTTGGGTCCTGGCTCTTTTGCTTGGTTCGTGGCTCTCAGTCTACCTAATGCCAAACAGACTTGGGAATGTGAATTTCACGAACCTAGTCCTGTGTCAGCCCCTACTGGCTGCTGTGTAGAAGTATTCCTCATTTATTTATTTATTTTGAAGCTATTCACAGAAGGGAAACAGGACAAAGCAATTTAATGCTTGTAACCCCTTGAAGTTGGCATAGAGTGGATCAGTTTGTCAGAAACCCATATCCACGATGGTGCAGGTTTTGAGGTTTAAAGAAAAAAACAACTTTAGTACTGAAGGCACTGCTGCAGGTATATATGCTACACTATTTAAAAGTTGCGCTAAAAGAAAGATTTTCTTGACAGCGTTGATGTATCACTTCCTACCCTGTTTTTCCTAGTATTGGATGCTCTAATGGGAAAGAGGGCGATTATCTAGCTTGTTTTTCTGCTGAAGATGACGAGATGTCAGCAGAGAAGGGGGGAGATGGTGCACACAAATTAATGACAGTGTGCAAAGAGTGAAATGCTGAACGAGGTAGCAAGGTTGGAGGGCACTGCTGTGCTGTGCTGATACATGTGCCACTGCATTAATGTGTGTTTCTTATGTTGCAGAGAACTCTCGTTTTCTTTGGCTTTATACTCCTGCAGAGTTGCTTACATGCTTGTGGTATCCTGCTTGCTGTTGATCCATCTGAAGGAATGCTTCTGCTTCGACCTTCACATTCCTGCACAGCTTCTGCTTGGCTTTCACACATATGTTAGTTGTGCTGTAAAGGGTTTTTCCCACTGCCTGTTCTGACTGTCATCACAGCGAGCTCTGCTGGTTTGGCTTGGTGGCCTTCAACGTGAAATGTGAGTATGAATGGGAAGGAGAGAATGCTTTGAGCTTGTGAGGCTTTTGCTGTACCTTCCAGGTGAGCCACGCAGCCCTGTGGGTTTCTGTGCTCCCATCTGGGAATTTTCAGCTGCGTTGGAGATCCAGTGCCTGTAAGTGGCTGTACCTCTTTTCCATCTTTAGTATCGTTCCATGGTTACTCAAGGCAGTAATTTCTGGCCTGAGGACATATCAAAGTCCTGAGGTAAAGATCAACACTGCTTTTTCTGGAGTAACAGAAACCAACAGGGCTGAGCTCTTAGCTAGTTACTTAGATAACGGACCTGCAGATGGATATGCATCCAGAGCAGAGGCTTTCTGTGGCAACAGATACAGCAGAGCATTGTCAATGTGCTTACTCTCAGCTACGTCTTTATCTAATCCTGCTCAGACACTCTGCTTGTGTGATAGGTGGACGAGAAATTGCTTCCCTGTTCTTGACTAGCTGAAACAAGTGGATGTGGCACTTCCCTTCAGAGGGAATTTGTATCAGCGAGGTAATGAAATTTGGGGATATTGTAGTCATTGGGAAAATAAGGTACCTGGATGTTGTAGCGATGTCTAGCTGAGCTTTCTGTGTGTGCAGCTGCTCAGGCTTATGAGTTTGAGCTCCAGTCTGCAGCAAAGTAACTGCTTTGTGTTTGTTTTCTGTGGAGCAGCTAATGGCCACCATAAAGAAATTGACCTCTATTTGTAGTCCACGAAGAGCAACTGGCAGTGTGTTGAGATCCAAGGAAAATGAAGTCTCTTACCAAAAGAGGTCCTATCAGCCTTTGGGGACAGTCCAAGAAATGCCCTTGTGTGGATTATTTTTGGCTTTTGTCCACACTTTTACTCCAAAACCAGCCTAGTCTTGACTCTAACAGAAGCAATGCCATGCTAGGCTGTGTCTATCTCAGGACAGATTTAAGGCTTTACCTGTGACTGTTTCAGCAGTAATTCTACATATCGCTTTCAAGGCTTTAAACAGGATTTTAAACCAAAGTGTTTGGTGTTGTGTCTGCTTTGAATTTTTCCTCTTCAGAACTTAGAACAGAGAGGTTTAGTTTTGATGCGGTGTTGTGGTTCTCATAGGGTCAATTTCTACTCCAAAGAGTGGCCAGGCTGCTTGGAGGAAAAAAAATGCCCTTTCTAAGGACTTGTGTATGAGGTTATCTGTAGACCAGAAGTCCTTACTGGTAAATGTTCTCAGGCCGTGATTAAAGGTAGATGTGCTTGGAAGGCAATGTAGTTGAAGAACATCTCATGAAATAACACATACTTTTATAGGATTAAACGAAGATCCAACCAGAATTCTAACTGCCAGGTATGTTGGCTATCATCTGATAGCTCTTGATGGCACTCCAGATAGATACAGATAGATACTAACACACTTTTCTGACTCGCTTGAGCACCTGTATCCAGCAGGTCCCTAATAGCTGCCAGCCTGTGACCACTGCTATCATTGCCACTTCTCCTCAGGGACTCCTCTGTGATAACGAACAAAGAAACAGATGCTTGGGGTTTCTTTGGCTCAGATGGCAGCAGTGTGAGTAAACTTTCAGCTGTCTTTCACTGTAAGTATTTCATGGATAAAAAGTGTTTTGGTATCTAACCGGCTCGAGTAGGATTTGAATCCTGTTGCAGCTATATGCTTCTACGCAGTGCTTCTTTCAGCCCTAACCATGTCCCTTCCAAGAGAAACTGATAAAGGTGTGATAAACTTTTATATTTCGTTCTCTTATTACTGTTTCCTACAGTGAGAGGGACCGTATTTTGTAGGAAAAGACAGTTTAAGAAGTGCTGTTGTGGAGTGGAGATGGGGGTGTTTTGCAACTCAGAGCCCTCCCCAGGCTGTGGGAAGCTGTGGAAGGGTGTGGAGAAATCCCATGGCTGCTGGGTGCCTGAGAAATGGGCTCGTGTACTTGTCTGCTTCTTCCAGAGGGAGCTGCACCCGCCTCTTTATCACATAGATTTAGCTTTGGAACTGTCCAAGTATTTGAAATGCAGTGTCTATGAAAGCTAGGCAAAATGTAGGTGTCATTACCCAAAAAAATTCCTGCTTTACTAGAGCTGTAAATTATATTTAAAAGTTGGGCTCTTCTTAACTACTTAAAGCTACAGTGACAATGCAAAGCTGTAAGGCAAAGCACACTGCTGTCACTCCTTGGTTTTCGTTGAGAAAGCTACTCCACAAGCTCACTAGATACACACTGCAGGTAAATTGTGGTCAGTGACATTTTGCACGCACTCATAAAGCTCCTAATGATCTCTTTTAAAATAAAATGAAATGGCAAAACCCTCTCAGAGGGGCAAGGGATGGTTCAGTCAGAATTCATGTGTTAGATGGGCCAAATTCATTTTAACTGAGCTGCTGGGAGAACCACTCAGGTCCTAGCCTGCCACCCATTGGGTTTGCAGCCATCACTGTGACTTTCAATGGTCTGGGAACTGGACCAGGTGGAATACCATCAGCATTCATCTCCTGATGCACACATACAAGGTCATGTCACTGTTAGGTTCTGCAGAGTCTTTTGGAGCTGGGTATTTCTTTGTAGCCCTCCTCTTAAAAGGTGTGTGATTACAGTTGGCCAAGACCACCAATTAGCTCAGGCTAATTTTTCTCCTTTTTCTATCTGTGCTCCCTTTGTTATGCTGCACGTTGTTCATTACTTGGTGTATCTAATGGCAATTAGGGAGTGAGGCAGCCACGAAGACTAATTTGATCACCTGGAGACCTGCCTCCCACAGCCCCATGCAGTCAGCGGAGACTCAGCTCTGCCTCCAGGGCACTTTGGCTGAGGCTCCAGCTCCAATTCGCCCTCTAGAGAAGCCTCCTCTTTTCCATTAACTAAAGGGAAGCCTGTTGTCCCCAAGCAAATGATGGCCCTTCGGAACGGGGCTCCCATTTGAATAAAGACACGGGCTGAGCTTGATTTCTGAGTTTCAGGGCAAAGGCAGTTTGTGGGCAGCCATGCAGTGGGGCCCTTTGAGTCATCCGTGGAGCACAGAGCCCCCCAACCCCATCCAGCCCTCCCAGCTCACTTGTGTCTGTGGGTGTCCTGTAGGGCTAAACCCCCATCCATGGCATTGGCAGTGCCTGTGGCCATTCCCTCTTGGCATACCTGGGTTCACCCGGGCAAGCTCAGGAGTGGCAGAGTGAAAAGCTCCAAATCAAACCTGCTATGTCATATCCAGCAGGCCTCTGTTCTGCAGACTTATCCACTGCCATAATTATAAACCCGAAACTTGTTAAGTTTCTCTTCAGCTTCATAAAACCCAACCCAACGCTCGGCGTCGCATGCTGACTGTCTGCTTTTAATCCCATCTGTTAAGAGCCCAGATCCCCCCATGCTGCGTTAGTACAACAAAGCTGATCTCGGCTGTCCTTCCCAGGCATGGCACACTGTGTTGTAAATAAGATGCACTCCTCAGCAAGGCTCAGAAGTGCCTGTGTGGATGGGTGCGTCCTTCCTTAGCACCTGACCAGCACTGCAGCTGTACAGAGACAG